GAAAGTATTCTGCATAATGTTGTTTTTATTGACATTGTATGATTGATCATAAATGTCATCGTGTTCAGGACAATACGACATTGGAAATAACGTCTAGAGCTAGACTTAAATAAAGTAATGAGTGTACAGGGAATATATAACGTCGGGAAATGAATAGGATTTTACACTTTGCCACATGTGGATTAAAGGGGCCTTTAGAGGACTAGATTCAAGGAGCCATCGCTTGTTAATTATGTGAGAAGGATTATTAACATTTATCCTGGTCCTATGAAGCAGTGTGATAATTATTTTCATGTTGGATGCCGACGTTTGCAAACATACACCTGTATTAGTGCCTGTATGAATATGTCTATAAGCTAGCTGTACATGTAGTGTCTGGATGATCCAGTCTATAATTACTTTATTCAAGTTATGCAAACTGTGTTAAATAAATTTGGCAATCATTTCCAAATGGCTCAATATTTGAAATAAAACGCGATTTAATGTTTCATCGACAATTTAAATTTTTTTTAGGTCATTTCGAGAGAGAGAGAAATGGGGTTTAACGTCCACTCGACACAAACTAGGTCATTTTGGGACTAACATATGGTTTAATTTTATTTCAATAATTCGCTTGCGCGTAGGGTCTTTAGCAGTGGGAGGAAACCGAAGGACCCGGAGAAAACCCACAAGGTTAGACAGGCAACCCTACTCCTTGTCACAAACAACCGGGGATTCAAAAGCCCGCCAGTTGACTCAATGACAGGCCTTAAGGTCATTTCGAGATGGTAATCTTATTTCTATGTTTACAAGAGCAAAATGATGGGCCTAATTTCACCTAAAAAAATAGTGTCCCACCAACCCCTCGTCTCTTTTCCAAACTCCGACTAACATACAGTAAATGTTTACAAGTGCAAAATGACAGGTCTCCCTCACCCCCATCTTTTTTCCAAACTTTGAACTCTGACTAACATCCAATAATTCTATTTCTATGTGCAAAATGACGGGCCTAATTTCATCTTAAAAAATGGTACTCTTTTATATGCACTACCAATCTGTACGTGGGATCTTAAAAACCGAGGTCTCATGCACACATTGGTGTGCATGTAAAAGAACAACTATGACAGTTGGAATTAGAAATAAGAGTAGGCTGTAGTGCTGCTGTCCAGGCAAAATTCCCCCTCATAGCATACTGTATGTTGTATGCCCATCTTCATTAGCCCAGTCAGAACAGTAGGCCATTTTAACTATCACATCCAATCAGCTAAAGGTACCCTTTCTTATTAGTTCCACATATGCCTTCCTTCACAAGTGAGCTGAAACTTTCAAATAAGGTACATGTATGTCATATATTTATGTTGTTTGTTTTGCATACGTAAAGCGACTTATATCAAAGAATAATGAATTCTAGGACAGATAAATATGTAATTTTTCAATTACTAGCCAGAATTATTGGGAAGGGAATTATAATCAGAAGGTCTAAACTAAATCAATTTATTACAAAATAAGACTGTTTCGTTCTATTTGTTGCTGCTGGTGCAGAGATAATGTACATATGAGCTTACTAACTAATCAAATTGTTTGTATACTATACAGGCATGGGCATCACACATGGGGGGGGGGGTCGGATTGGGGCCGACCACCCCAATTGTTTTTCGGGCGGGGTCTGAAAATACTTGGCTCCCCCCCCCCCCAAAATAAAATTTACATAGTAGACCCTAACTCCTATTTATTTACAACAATTATTAGGATTAGTTAAGATGGTTTACATTGCTAAAATAAACTACAGAGAGAAGCGTCCTGGAAACATGTGTGAAGTGAAAAGTAACTGTGTTCCATAAAATTGTCATTTGCGGGACCCCCCCCCCCCCACCAACCCCAAATATATATTTCACGGCTACACCTCTGTATACAGGGCTGTATTTTGAAAATCTAAAGATAGGTTACCAGGCAACATAACTACACCCCCAGTAGCTAAATCATTTGTGCAGTCGACAAGGATTGTCTAATATTTATTTTTTTTGTGGGTAATGGGATAGTTTACAAATGATATCACTTTAATACAAATCTCATGATAACTATTGTTGTGTGAGAGTTCACAAAGTTCTAGAAAGTGAAACAAGGGCCATAACTCCAGAAGAAATTAACAGAAATTATTGAATATATAGGCTTCTTCATCTTACTAATGAACACAACATAATATATCAATTTCAAAACAATCAGATGATAAATGTAGTCTGTAGAGCGTTCACTAGAAATTGTGGACGATGAACATACCATCAGACGGACGAACGGACAGGGGCGACGGCAATATACAACCACATTTCCATGTGGGCGTGTAAAAATTATCACTGATGAAATTTTTTTTATATATAGACTTTCAGAAATCAAATCACAATATATGGATTAGGCAAAAAGCATCGCAATATTATCTATGTACCAGTATATCATTAGAAGTCATGTGTAGGCAATAAGTCAACCATTGTTACTCCAATAAATGAACCTCTGTACCAGAAGTTCACAAAAATAAGAAATTTGATTTGATTTATAAATAACAGTTCATCAGAGTTATTGCTTTGTGAATTGTCACATCACATAAACTTTCCATAACACTTTGTGTAATCATTTCATTTTCAGATTAAGAAAATTTTAGTAGAAATGAGGATGAAAAGTTATCAATTTAAAGCTTTCTTATTGATTGCTGGGATAGTGGAAGGGAATCAAATTATATTAGCCTTGCCTCGTCTACCCTAACCATCAAGACAACTACGAGAAGCAATACATTATCTCTGTCTGTCTAGCCATTGTAATTAACTTGGGACTCTCAAATTGTCGTCTACATATATCAATACTCAAACGCTGGTCTAAAAAGTAAAGTTGGATATTTTTCTCCAGACCTTAATAATTGAATTTGTGTTAAAGCTCAATACAAAGATAGTCTTGTTTCTCATGTTCTATTTCGCTGTGGTGAAACGAAATGAAATACAAAAGGGTTTAATGTCCAGATATTCCGCACCAACTATGCTAATGACAGGCAGATGCCATGCAGTGTGCTATGAGGGAAATTTTGCCCGTTGAGTGTTGCTTTGGCTTTCTTTTATACTAAATTCCAAATGTCAAGGTACCTTTTATTTCCCATCCAAAGGATTAGAGGCTGTACCTTGCCAGACCCTTTATCATGCAATACTGAACAGGGGAAACTACGCTTGGAAAATACAAAGAACTTTCTCAACAAACATTGGGACCAAACACAGGAATTCTTGGTTAGCGATCTAGTGCCTTACTCAGTGAACCACAATGGCTCTGAATCCATAAAAGAGTTTCTTCAATAATATAAAGATAAGTGTAAAATCTACATAACAATAAAGCACAGTATATAAACACAATATCTACTGATCAATATATATCAGTCTAATGCTACCGATATACCATAGTAACTCAAAGGGTATATATAATTAACTAGTACTTTATAATACACATTCAATATTTACTGACCATTATATACATCAGTCTACTGCAAATGATGTACATGTATGTATACCATAACAACCCACAGGGAATATACATTATAATTCATACTTAATAATACACAAAACTCTGGTCAGTCTGGTCAGTCCTACATGTACTAATCACTGTACTATTCCACATACAATCGACTCGGCTGATTTTTTTTTTTTTTGGGGGGGGGGGGGGGGTGTCTATATACCCAAAGTATTGAAAGGAAAGATATGTAATAGATATACATATTCTACGTATCACACCCACAAATTTAAATATGGATAAGTGAATTTGGACCCAAAAAAAAGCTCTTGTCCGTAATTAATTGTAGATAGATATGATGTGTAAAATGTACATATTTATAACATCTTTCATTGTCAAGTACTTCTTTCCAATACTTTGGGAGCTATTGACATTAGAAAGCTCTTATCAGGTGATTAGTAGGCCCAACAAGACAAACCCACACAAAAGATACAAACTGCCGACATTGCAAGCAATAAACAAAAATATGTTAATTTTATAAATCTACAACCTATATACTAATATATATGAGTCTTCTGTGAGCCACAAGTTTATTCCCCAGGGAAAACACAAATAACCCAAAATTTAAAATACACAATGTTTAAAGTGGCATTATGGAAGATTAGATAAAGAGCTAACAATTCTCACTATAATAGTTCAAAAATAGATAATGAAAACAGAATATATCGAAAATTTCAGTCAAATTACTTCACTCTGAGCCAAGGAATCAGCAAAATAACTATAGGCTAGTCTCAATGGTCATTAATACCGCTGTTTATCGATTATCCATTTTTAAGGTAACAGCATCCAGCACAAAACATATTTTACCCCACTAAATATCGCAGGCATGGCATTGAGAGTTGATTATGGTCTTGATAAGTTAATTAATGTCTAATTAATAATTTAGATAACATTTCAGGCCTAAAGAAAGACCTGCAGTACATGTAGGCAGATTTAGCTCTACCATAATGCATGTTTAAAGATTTCAACCATAATGACCAATTTACATAAAACCATTCTCAACTCGCAGGGACTATAAAATATCGTATGAATATATTATTCTACTTTTAGTATTTGTCTCCATAAGTAAAACATAATTCAATCAAATTTTCAAAGGGCAGACAGCCAATTATATCCAAAAGTATATATTCTGTGAGTTGCAAATTAATGTCTCTGCAAATAACAATGGTATGGCGCTCAGATGAACTAGACTTTTAATTCTCATCATAATTCCCTGGGGCACACCATCCGGAATAATTCTAAGTAATTTTCTTGAAGAAAGATGTCGGAGAAGTAAGTTTACACATTTCTTTCATTAGGATATCTTACAAAACTTATAATAATAGTCTTAGCATGATCAGTGAATTATCACAACTTGATCATACATACCAAATAAATCATCAGGGAGATGGAGACGGCCTATTGATTTGGGATGTAGGGGAAATTAAAGAAAAATATACTGTGTACACTGCATATTGACTAATACTGTTAGATCTACTAACCTTGTTTGATAATGGTAATTTGAGTTTTGTTGTGTGCGTCTGCTGACCACAGAGTATAACAAAATGTCTTGTCCTCCACACATCGAATGGTTTTATTATCGGGTAAAATTTCGCCACCAAACGACGCCTTTTCCATCTCCTTACTGGATGTTTCTCCCTCGTAGCTTTTAACGGCATTGTCTGTATCTGTGTCTTTTGTATCCACAAAACTGGAGAGCGGGAACGATTTATCGTAGAATGCACAGATGCTCTCCGCTTGACCACGCTTCAAACCTAAAAATAAATATATAACTCTATAATGCTTTTAGTAAGGATGACATTACAATACAATACAAGACAAGCTGGTACAGACCCCCACTTTAAAAATAAGCTTTCTTTTATTTCCATCTGTCTACAATCAGTAATTTTAACATACATTATGCAAGAGCTAAATCTGCCTATTGCAGGTCTTTCTTTAGGCCTGAAACGTTTTCTAAATTATTAATTAGACATTAATTAACTTATCCAGGCCATAACCAACTCTTGATGGCATCGGATTTCTCTTATATTTTATATAATAGAACAGTTCAGCCATATTTTGATTTAAGCTAAAAATGGAGTAACGAAACTTAGCTTCGAACAACCAGTACGGTGGTTGAAATTATTGCACACATCTTGTCAAACCTTCAAAGGTTAATAAGTAATATCTTCGCTCGCAATAGAGTAATTTTAAAGAAATTGTCAAATTATTCATTTTAGATTATCTATTTTCGAACTATTATAGCAAGAACGGCTAGCTCTTTATCTAAATCTTACATAATGTATCTTTAACTAAAAAGTAATCTAAAAATATTTTAGCCACAAAAAAAACCAAAAAACCCCACTTGAATTAATGAAACCGCAACTTAAAATACATGGCTAAAGAATGTTTATTTCTAGTATTTATTACCCGTTTTGGTACCTTTTCACACTACAAAGATACAGTATTTCCTTGAGCATAAAGTGCAAAAGTAAAACATGTACATCTAACTATTTTGTCAGATTAAATTAAAAATTTCATGTATATGTAAAGTATATGTGTAGGTAGGTTTATCTGTAATAAACCAAGATTGAATGATGTGCACAAACATTTACATCCCAAGCATCTTAACTCATTTCAATGGGGACTATAGGCCATGTTTGTTTTATTTAGGTTATTGTTTGTAATTTACTCTTTAAGTCACATGCACAATTGTGGAGAATGGAAAATATTTTGTGCCCTGTCTTGACAAATTCTTTCATTAAAAAGTCCTTTGTATTTTTTTTAAAAAAAACATTGGTAACAAAAAAAATTGACTGTTGACATATACTTTCAATTGATTTAAAGATTGCTTGCCAGGTAATGAAACATGCACTCAAGCAGACCATAATGGTTGTCACACCTCACATTGTGATTCTTAACCCTTTGGACCCGAGTGGGTGAAAGACCAGCGCGGATGCCCCTTGGCTGGAGTACCGAGGGCCCGGTGTACTTGCCCCTACGGGTACCTGTTCGGCCAATCAGTATCAAACAGGTACCCGTTTTTGTGGCCGCTCAAGTCCTAAGAGTTCATAATATTACAAGAAAAAATTTTGGGCCAATAAATTTTACCCTGGGAGGCTAGTATATAGGTCTAATGGCGTTCAGGGTGTCGATGTCCAAATCGTTAAGGCATTTAAAAAGAAAACCATCATTACCGACTGACAATATAACCAAAGGCAATAACTTTAGAAGTTTTATTAAAATTAGCATAATGCAATAGGCTTAGCCTTCGCAATTATCGAATAATGTTTTTATATTTTTCATGTAGATCGGATAACAGCTTTTGTTGCTGAAGTGACCTCAAGATTCTATATAAAGTCAGCCAGAGCAGTAAGTAATTAATAGAATCTGTTGAAATCTGATAGGCTTAATCTTTGTTTAAGAGAGAGAGAGAGAGAGAGAGAGATTTAACATCCACTCCATGCAAACTAGGTCATTTTGGGATCAACACATGGTTCAATCTTATTTCAATAATTCATGTGCATGTAGGGTTTCTAGCTGTAAGGTTGAGCAGACGATCTACCCTACTCCTTGTAATGTATAAATGGGAAATCAAAACTACCGCATTTGACTCAAATGCTAGATCTTGTGATCTAACGCGCACTTGTTAAACCATTCGACCACCCTACCCACCAATAGAGTTTACAAAACAAGAGAGAGAGAGAGAGAGAGAAATGGGGTTTAACGTCCACTCGACACAAACTGGGTCATTTCGGGACTAACATATGGTTTAATTTTATTTCAATAATTCGCTTGCATGTAGGGGTCTTTAGCAGTGGGAGGAAACCGGAGGACCCGGAGAAAACCCACGAGGTTGGACAGGCGAGTTTACAAAACGAGCAAGGGCTATACACTAGAGTTAATCAGGAGAAATTGTTGGATCTGGATAGGGGTCTTTGTCTCATTAATCTGAACAATACGTAAACATTTCAAGCCGATTTGATGATCTGTTGAGCTATAGCATACAAATTTTTAGATGATAAAGTGTTTACAAGAAATTGCAATCTGAATAAATTACAGATCTATATTTTTTTTCTTTATACTTTTGATGGCCTTTACTACACTTCATGTCATTGGTCATACAAATGGCTTTTGGCCCTATGGCGTCAGTCTTTCGCTTAAACAATCAGCATCCGTGTTCCAAGTGGGTATTGGAAATACAACTGCTTTTTTTATTTGTTTTCTATCACTGCGAATGTCTCCCCACAGTTCCGCATGCCAGAACAGATCATTTGATTGGCTAATCTCTCACTATTCCTAGTTGTAGTGTCAAATAAAACGAAATTTGAACTATAAAAATCGATTTGAAATAGGATCTGTATTTTAATCAGAAAGTGTGGTCGACACACTCTGGGATGATATAAACCATATTTCAACTTTTGTATATAAAATCATTTTTATTGTAACCAAACAAATTAAAGAGATATGACATTATTACAGAACATGCCAGGGGAAAAAAAACCTTTGCTGAAGGAATCAAAAATAACCAAATGTATGGAATTAAATTATGCACAAACAATTCAAATCTTCACTGGAATTGGATTAAATGCAATTGTATATTTTCATATTTATTGAACAATTACTATGTTGATGACTTCACCTCAAGGTTGAAAGAGCTGAAAAAAAAAACTTTGCTGATGGAACCCATTTTATGGACTAAGTTCTACACAAACAAATCCAACAATCACTGTAATTGGATTAAATGCAATAATTGTATATATTTATAATGTCTATAATGTAAAAATTACAATGTTCATGAATTTCGTTCAAGGTTGAAAATGCAGAAATAAAAACTTTACTGGTGGAAGCAAATGTATGGATTAAATTTTAAAATTGCAATGTTCATGGCTTTCCATCAAGGTTGAAAATGCAGAAAAAAAATTTGCCTATTAATTAGTCAAGGATATTGTTAATTAATGCAATATTAAACCACTTGATGATTGATGTTGGCACTTTATACCCCTTATCAACTTCCTGCCAACTTGCTTCTTTTAGTTGTACAATGTGCCTTTAAAAACTGAGTCATAATACATGTAATAAGAAAAAAAGCTGTTTGGGTTTCTGTCTGTTTCTAGAATATGGGGTAAACTTTTTTTTGTTACAGAAATTAACTTCAGGTTCCAAAAATCAGAAATGGTGGCAGAATCAAATATCAAGGTTCAACGTACGGTAATAGTATTCTCTAATTGTGGGTCAGTATTGCACAATTGAAGTACACGTAACTAGGGTAATAATTTTGAAACATCTAAATAAATAAAATTAATGAGGCTTGATAGTGTCAGTTACCATATTTTGTGTGATGTATTTAATAATTTGGAGCAGCTGCACCTAAAAAAAGGTACCAAGTCGTATTCAGAAAGTTTTTTTTAATTATAAATACATGTATAGGCCTACACAAGTTAAGTGTATGTGTATACATGTACATACATATTGTTTGTAGTTTGGAGTGTGGAGCTACAAAATATAAAATGCAGAAAAAAATCCAGGGCAATAATTATCCTATCACGAAAATCATCTTCCTAGAATTAAATCCAGTAAAGGGAAAGGGACATAATGCTAACTCAATTATATCTATTTTATAGATTTATCAATATTGATACCATTACATAACCTTAACTTCATAATAATCTGGAAAATTGGTTGTACACCTAACAAAATCAAAACATCAATGGAGAAATTAACTAGAGCATATGCACATTCCAAGATTGACAAATGGTAATTCGGCTTATGCTAATGTCATTCTGAGTAAAAATTTACCTGAAAGGGCAAAACTTACGTAATCGCCCACTTCCACATTCATTATTAAATTCATTTTTCACTGCATGATGAGTTCCACAGACAACCATACAGAGAACAGATTTGTCTCTGGTAGTATAAATCAATACAACCAGTAAAACATGCATTAAAGAGACCCAGGTAGGCCTAAATGAGGATTATTACGGTACAATAGAATTGGCCAAACTGTATACAATAGATTGATAGAGGGAAAAAAAGAGCAAAGGAAAGCCTCCAATGCTATCATAGGTCAGTATTGGTCAATATTCTGCTGGGCAATAACTATAGTTAAAATATAAACCACTACACAACCTTTTATAGAGTGAATGTCCATGAAAGCTATTCATTGATGAATTGTGTGGGGTGTGTTGTTAACAATGAATACACAGCCCAAGCTAATATACATCATGATAAACAATGCAGGATAACTATACACAACGAAAACAAAAGACAGAACAAACAAGACAATATAATTAGGAATCCTTGCTACACGTACATGTAACTACAATACTGTGAAAGCTGAATCTCTAAAAGGAATATCATTCCAAAATGGTTTGTTCGCTGTTCTGTATTTACAAAGATATGATTAACTGAAATTTTGTCAACATTTGGAATCATCTGTTGACGATATAAATGAGACATTTTTAAGAGTTAGCACCACATATAACCATTGTTAAAATCTTTGATGGGTCTATTTTTAATCTGATTGTATTTAAACTAGAATATTATCTACCGTTAATATTTTGATTTTGTTTTCTTAATCAAACGTTAAATAATCAATTTGAGTACATTTTTAAGCCACAGAAAATTTGATATATTTCGAAAATGCAAATCTTGCAGTGTCTTTAAGATTTGCATTCAATAATTTGCTTGTAACACCATGAATTTCATCAGCAATTACTCATACATTTTTCAATTCAACAACCCCAAATCAGTGGACACACACCACCAAAAACAGTTTAAAGATACATTATGGGAGATTAGAAAAAGAGCTGACAGCTCTTGCTATAATAGTTAAAAACTAGATAATGTAAAGGTAACAAGTGAAAATTTCAGTCAAATTGGTCCACTATGAACCGAGATATCAGCTTTGTAAATTTCTGCCTAGCCTCGTTCATCATTACTAAAGTTAGTACGTTAAAAAGCATAGTCTTGATTATCCATTGTTTTTATTTAATTATCAATGAGCGTTTGCAGCATATGGGATTCTAATCCAGTTGATATCGAAGGCTAGCCTTGACATCAAGAGTTGATTATGGTCTGGATAAGTTAATTAATGTCTAATTAATAATTAAGATAAGATTTCAGGTCTAAAGAAAGACTTGTGATAGGCGGATTTAGCTCTTGCATAATGCATGTTTAAGCTTCAAAATTTGTAACCATAAACAACTAAAAGCTTAACTTTTTATCAAATCTTTGTGATCAATTAATTGTACTTTTTAAAGTAACCCTAATTTGTTTTTTATTATTGTTTCAATTGTACTTTTTTAAAGTACCGCTAACCCTAATTTTTATATTTTTTTATTGTTTATAAATTTTTATTTTTTCAAATGTACTTTGGCCACAGTGATAACAAAACTACATTAGCTAATCACAGCAATTATACATTCACTATTTTATAATCCATATACAGGCTATCACATGATTATTCAAAATGGTAATTCTCTTATATTGCCATACATGTATTTGAGCTTTTATCAAATATTGAGCATAAGAGAGCCAGGGCATAATTGCATTAAGTAGAAGTCTTTCATAGTGAATGCTCTTATGGCTGCATACGACATCTAAAGTAGGGTGAACATCACAGAAATTGCCCATAAATAATGATAGCAAATCCTTGATGTCGCCTACATGATTTGATATTTGTTGTTTATTTCTTGTAATGTCTACTTAGTTTATCTTGTCCGCAGATTTGTATTACTGGTTCTCCCGCACTTACTATAAGAGTATAAAATTTGCTTCCATAATAAATGAACACTTTTTACCAATTGGTCCTGGGTATATTCACTGTGATTTATAATTTCCCTCAGTTCTATTGTATAATACACACTTTGAAACATAGTGTATTACAAAGCATTTGGGGATTACACTAGTATTGCCTATTGGATCAGATAGAGACTGCCTATAGTCCAATGATGTCAAGATATATGGTATCTAATGTTTCCCAGCAGGTATATTTCAGACTCAAGGGATCTGGAATAATATCTATTATGTCATAATCTAAGGTTAGTATAAACACAGATTGATAAATACATGAATAAACCACCAGATTTATAGTTTAGTAGGAGCTTTAGCCAATGGAAATTTAGATTCCCTAAGCATAAGGCTCAGACAGTTGAGCACTCACAACTGTAACATATCCCATATATATCACACTATTAAATACAAACAATGTATGGATTATATTCAATAAACCCTAGATATGGTAATATTACAATATCTTAGTTTTATCCAAAATGACATGAAATGGTGTTTAATGTACAATTTGTCTGCTCAGTACGGGCTAATGAAGATGGGCTAATGCAGGGTACTATGAAGCAAATTTAGCCAGACACCAGACATCTGTTTTTCCGACAACTCTTCATGGAAATCAAACTAAGGGTTCTTTTATGTGCACGCAAATGTGCACACAGGACTTTATTTTTTTTGACCCATCTAAATGACTAGACAGTTTGTCAGGCCCGTCTGTCCTGCACCATTGACTTATAGAAACCAGCCTGGAAAATTACGACCAACACTGTGATCAAACACTAGATATCCTCACCACTACAAATCACAGTGTGAATTCACTCTGTCAGCATAAGTTATGATATGCCACCAAATAAAAGTATTCTTATTCTGATAATTTTGCATAATAAAATGTATTAATTAGGAGTACCTTATTTTTAGTCTAAATTAAAAAAAAACAGGTGTACAGAAACATGCACATGCAAAATAATAAAAATAGAATTATGTCTGGTTACATTGTAGCCTAGCAAATTTCATTCTCGGGATTATCAGTTGATACTGATAGCCAGTTCACCAATTCAAATCTATAGAAGTCCTGTCCTAATTAGGAAAATATCTGGTCCATGTGAACACAGAAAAATAACAATATTATTACCAAACTGTATATCATTAAAATAAACAGGCCTGCCATAATGTGTGGTAGGCCTACTTAATCATTCTAATAACTATCTTTATTAAACAAAACTCAAGTGCATTTATATCTTTTATTATTGGTGATACAGGCCTAGGTTAATGGAATAAATGAATGAATATTTGATAAAATTTCATAGTTTTTCTGATAATTTCAAACTATTCCTGCAGATAAGGCTACCTGGGGAGGCCTACATTATTCTCAAATTTTACTTTGTAATAGGCCAAAACTGGATTAGTTGAACATTAAACAATTTTTTTTTTAAGTTGAATGTCTCACTAATGTATGTTCATCGAAAAAGGTTATCTTTAGGGCCTATCCCCAAATAATAATCAAACACAATATTGTCGATTATTGATACACATTATTAAAGAAATTAAATGTTGATGCTAACGGTAAATCACCGGCACGTGCAACAAAGTAGATCATCATCACTTTATAAGTGGTGATTACGTAATCAGTCTACAGTTATCACAAGAGCTCGAGCAGACGACAGCAAACTTGTGCCAGACGGACTATTATTGACCTAACGTCAGCGTGCAGACAGACAGACGGCCAAACCATTGCTACATTATGAAGTTTCGTACAAAGCAATTCAAATAAATTCTTTTTCTATTTTAAAGTATAAAATTGTTTTTGAAATAACCTAATTTATTCTAAAATTCACAGTGACCCAGAGTCTGAAAAATTGCATAGAAATGTGCTTTAGTAAAATTGATTCATATGAGGTCACCAGACGTTAGTTACACTTTTAGCCTCAATAATGATGACTATTGACAGCAATAATAAGGTGATCAAAGCGGTATAAAAATGATTTATTAGGGCTGTAATTAATTTACTCACCTGCGAGTAAGCTGAGCCAAACAATTAATAATGTAACTCCTGAATTGCGGTGCATTTTGAAGGTTTTCACCGCATTCCTTGTTGGCGTCTAAGCTAGACACTAGAACAAAATGGCGCATAGACTGTAAAGTCTAAAATATACTGTTATTTTCGGTTGGTTCCAACCGTTTTGAATCAATCCATGCAGACATTTTGTCGGAGAAACGATAATGCTAACCGTCCTGAATCAATTTCAATACTGATCAGTGGTAATCACAGAATACGGAATCGACCATTGGGTCTAATCATGACCCACTCCAATGTCGAGACCGACTGGCCGAGTCCATTCCGTTTTATTGGGTAAAACAGGGTTATGACGCCTGTTGGATCATGCATGACTTAATCGGAAGAAACCATTGCATGTACAAGGTGTGTAATAAATAAAGTACTGTTGATAAGGGATACTCCGGGCGTCTGCTCACTTCAGTTGCCATAAAACCTGTGGCTCAATATTATATTGATGTAATTACATGTTGTTATACAATACAAATTTTATCGCAAGGTCTTTGTAGAAATCTAATTAAAGGAACAAACCAGAAAAATTGTTAAATATAGAGTTTAAAGGAGCTAAATATCTTAACTCAATATTTTCCATAATATTTGAAATTAAAAACACGAAACAGAATTAAATATTGATTAATTTCAAGACACAATTTTATGATTAGTACACAAGTCGTGTACCCTGTGGTTACGGGTGCCATTTTCTAATGAACAGATAAAAACATATCCTACATCAAAATGTGGAAGTAATTAGTAAAGACTGATTCATAAAGACAAAATAATAATTTAAAAGATAGGTTGCCAGGCAACAAAACATACACCCAAAGCACTTAAATCATCCGAGCAGTCGACAAGGGTTGTCACATATTTATTCTTTTGTAGGTAATTGGGACAATTTCATACAGATCAATTATAATTTTTGTCTTTTAAGGGTTCACAGGGTTCTACAAACTGAATCAAGGGCCCTAACTCAGGAAGAAATTTACAGAAATTGTTAAAATTCAACAGACTTATGTTGTACTAATTTAAACAATGCATATAAATTTCATACAGATCGGATGATAACTTTTGTCCTTAAAGCATTCACAAGGTGGAACAAAGTGAAATAAGGGCCATAACTCCAGAAGAAATGAATGGAAATTAATGAAATTGAATAGGATTCTTCATCTCACTAATGTAAACAAAATATATCAATTTCAAAACAATCAGATAATAAATGTAGTCTGTAGAGTGTTCACAAGAAATTGTGGACGACAGACATGGAGCTGCCATAATATGAGAATTAACCCTTTGATTTGGAAAATGAGGGCTCTTTAATAGTAAAAGGAGTCTTTTGAACATTCTACTCACTAAAGATTGAAATATAATTCCTTTTAGGGCTATACTGAAAATTGCCTTGTCAAAGACAGCAATAAGCTTTTTCTGAGATTTGTGCATCAGTATAATAAATATGAAGCATTGACAACAAAAACAATTTACAAATATCGGCATTTGTATATATTTTATTCTTTTTGTTTGCTTACAATCTTTTGGCAAATTTAAACAGACAACACAAAATGTTTTTGTAATACAACTTTAACAATGAATTATTAGATATCATACATAACTTGAAATAAATAACAAGAAACATTCTTTTAACTCTTATAATTTCAGAGATGAAAAAGTACATGCATAAAAAATAAAATTAAATGGAATTTTTCACTGGTTTAAGTTACAAAGTACATGTACAAAACAGAATTGGACTGAAACAGGAAAGACTATGCAATAACATGCATGCACCCATTGACATAAATTATATTGAATTCTGCAATAACTTTAATTAACTTTATTTTTATGCTTACATGATTCATCATAATCTGTTTTAAAATCAGTATTTAAACCTTAATTATTTTGTCAAAGATAGGGCTACATCTAATTAATTTTAACTTTGACAGTTTTGATATCTAGAATTAGCACAGAATTTTTAATAAACATCTAATTAATGCAAAAAGAATTCCATAAGCCCATTTCTCTAAAAGTTAAATCTAACTATATAGATATTTTAGGGACTTTATCCTTATAGCCATCCCAAATTTTCACAATGTTCAAATTTGGATCCTCTGAATAATCTATTCTAAACCTAGTGCACCCCACTCCCCCAATATTTTTATTTTACTTTTTTGTAAGCACACACACTACAGCCATCATATTTTTGTTGGGTTTTTTTTTCTAAAAAAAGTTTGAACCTTTCGCTTTTAAAAATTAAAATAGCATTCGATAATTAAAGATGCATTATGTAAGAGCTAAATCTGCCCATTGCAGGTCATTTTTATGGCTTCAAATCATATATAAATTAATATTTAGAAATTAATTCACATGACATGCCTAATATCAACTAGCCGAGATTTAAATGGAGTTGAACACCTGCAAGATTTAAAAATTAAACAACAAAATGGATAATCGAGTACCTTTGCAACGATAAGCGATCTACACTACATATTCAAACAGTCATAACTTCACCAAGAATAAATGATCTGAATGAAATTTTCAACATATTCATTTTTCATTATCTATCTCAACAACTCAATCTTACATAATGCATCTTTAGGAGGATGGTTATTAAAACCATAAGATTATGTGCATTGTTCAATAATACTGACTTGAATATCAAGGATAAATATGTATTACATTAATTAAATAATACTATATAATATAAGATATGTAATATTCATTATAACTATATCTATATTGTCATATATCTTTTAATAATATGCTAAAATAGAAGATATGCCTGTCTGTTTACCGGTATATAAATAATCTTTCTCTATTTACGTAGGTAGGTAGAAAATACAAGAAAAGCTTCAAGGCAAAGTTATTTGAAAAGGTTTGGAAAATGACAGAAAGTTATCCTTGCATTAAAATGTCTTAGAACTTCTATAAATTCTGACAGGTAGGCTAATACCTTTATCCTCAAAGGAAAAAAAATATCATTATTTTATGATTTAACCCAACACATAGACATGATTTTAGCGCCTATGATTATTTAAATAATCACTACCCATCCCTAGCTGCATTAATTTCAATATGCATTATATCATGCTTGTTCTGTAACAAAACCAAATAGGTAGGTAATAATTACACCATACACCATATATATCAATGTTTGTATGCTAAATCAATGGTGATTAATTAAACGTAATCCTTAATTGGTATTTAGCGATTGGAAACATAACGAAACTAACATAGTCATATGGGACAACAATAACTTGTTTATTATACACAGGCATGTAATAACCCAGGGATTGTTGTCCCATATAACTGTTCTAGTTTTAACTAATTAAATGGTTGGCCATGATGAGTGATGTAATTATTCGAGAACTAGATATGTGTATACTACTTTGTTCAACTTTAGTTGTTAAACCTCTTTGTTATTTCCATTAGTGATGGGGCAATCTCTAATACAATTCAAGTTTTGTTTCGAAAGATTAAGCAAAAGTCGACTTGTTTACTAATTTTAGTTTCATGTTTCATTTACTGAGTCGATAATGGAACACAAAATGGGTCATGCCTCATCACTGGCTTTATCTACATATATAATATTTTCAAGGCAGACAGATAGTCATACCACAAAACAAATCAACATATGATATCCAATGTAAATGATAACTATATTTTTGACCCAAATCAAAGAGGATTAGCCATTTTAAAAGAAGCCTATAAGTCATTCTTTCAGAAAAGAGTTGGGTACAGCCGATCTCATTATTTTTAATACAAAGTTATATTGATACCCTTCCGTTCACATTAATAGCAATACAGAGTTATATCAATACCTTTCCGATAGCATTAATTGCAATACAGATAAACAGAGTTATAATGACTTCTGATTAAATTAATTGCAATACAGAGTAACAGAGTTATAACGATACCCTTTCGGTCACATTAATTTCAAGATGCTTTGATTTCTTGTATTAAAGTAAGTTATATAAAGACGATGAGACTGTACTAAAAATATCTAAATCAAATAAAATATGTCAGTGACATTTTGATTCAATAATTAAGTAAGTACAATATAAGAAATGAGTCACTTAAAGAGAAGCAAAGACTGTGAATCCTTATGGCGTTTACAAGAAAATTAAATTTCAAGAAGAGGCAACAGGAAAATAAAAGCTAGAAAAATTTTTTATAACAATAAATGTGGTAAATTTCAACATAAATTTCTCAAAAAGCTATAATTTTTATGATATGACATTGTTAAAAGTTATTCATATGTTAGATCTCTATGTTTTATATTTTAATTCTACGGATTTTATATGATCTCGGAAACTATAAAGCACAAAAAAATTTTTTTTTACATGATAAACAATAAAGCACTAAACACAATTTGACTGACCTTTTATTTGTAAGCAGAAATTTTTTGTTTGTTTTGATCCACATATGTAATATGAAAAGAGTATTAACACAATTTAAAAAAACCCCAATGTGTATTGTAAAATATATTACAATTTGCACAAAGTGTTAAATCTGAATGAATCTGTTAAAAATCAAAGAATGATTAAAATCTCATAAACTTTACCAGAATGATGAAAATCTATTAGAAATGCAAAAAAAAATAATTCTGTTTTGGGCTTTTATGAAATCCTGCATTGCTTCAGTGATTTTCAACCACTTTTTTCTGAAAATTAACGTTACGTTGTATATCAATATCAAATATATCAGCCATTTTTAAAAATCAAAACATACATCACTGACAACTTATAGTTATAGGTATTTGTATACAGAATTAAAAATTATGCATATACATGTAGTTATGTTTTGAGTTGTTGATCTATGTGACTTATTTAGACAGAAGCCAGGCACAATTAAATGAAGGATGGAATTAAATATGTAAGTTATTAAGTGTGCAAAGATATGAATATCATTGTATTCATATGTGTGAAATTATATTGTATAAAATAAATAGACAGAAAATAAATGATTGTTTTGGCATCTAACTGACTAAGTAAAAAGCAACTTGGTCCCTGCGAGTAATTTGCCATTTTGAAAAGCTTATTTATATAAGCCTGTCACACATGAAACTAAACCGTTATGAATAAAAGATGATTTTGAATAATATTTTAAACTTCAGGTATTATTGTATTTCCCATTTAATGATACATGTATTCCCATGACAATACTATTTCTTCTAATCTACTTCATAGTATTAATATGAATAGCATATGCTATTTTCTACTGTGTAAAACAACAATTCAATGTGAATTCAACAAAAGCAGCAGCCTTCAATTATCAATATGATAGTAAGCTACATCACATCAAACCAGAAAACAGCACACTGAGACTGTTTGAAGCTTCAATTTATAAATTTAACACCATACTTAACTTTAAATATATAAAGACTAAATGTAAAGAATGCTTAATCTAAATACAGTATGATTGGAGTTACCAATCATGAAATGTAAACTGATCACACATTCCAAAATGTTATAAGCGATCTCATTCACTATTCTTCAGGATAAACATTTAATCCTTCAATGTAATACATGTTCAGGACAGTCTGTCCAAAACTAAAATTCTATCACTAGCCAAAAAACGTCACAATGTTCTATAAAATACTTGAAACTTCAATAATTTTTTTTTTACTAAAAATTGTGTTATATATATTGCGTCATCCCTTATTACACACAATTTTGATTAAAAAAAAAAACTGTCAATTATATTTAGCCCTATGATACATAAATTAGTGAATAAAATGTGAGTATTCTTATTGCATCAACATAACACTTCTCTGTCCTGTTCTCAAATAGTATTGAAGCAACTTGTAAAAGTAACTGTTTGAATTGATTTAATGATTAATTGAGCTGTATGTTTATTTAATATTGATCGAAGTTAAAACTTCAAGCTCACTACTTAGTACTATTACAATTACATTAGGGCTTCACTGATGATGTTGATGGAGAAGGACAATAGATAACATCATGAGACCCTTTATATTATACACAAACGATTCAGTGTGATCATCATGCTGTGAAGCTCCTGGTCCTGCAGTATATTCACACATGCCTTATAGCAAACATGTGATATATTGATGAGGTCTATGTGTACGTATAATAATTTCCTTCAGAATTTACAGTGAGGTCTGATGTAGTCATGATTTCTTCTAGAATACATGGTGAGGCCATTATGTATTTATGATTTCCTCCTGAAGTTCATGAATGGGTCTGAATATTTATGATTTTCTCCCAAATAAATGTTGATTTCATGGTGTAATTATAATTTCATGGTGTAATTATGATTTCCCCCAGGATATTTATGAATTTCTCCATAATTCATGGTATTGGTGAGGTCTCCGCATATTTATGATTTTCTCCAGAATACATCAGGTGATATCTTGTGTGTTAATGATCTTCTCTAGATTACTTGTGAGGTAGGTATCCATGTACTTATGATTTTCACCCAAACACCTTTAGAATTTTGTTAATTAGACAAGAGTACAATTGCAATGATGTATATGTAATATGCTTATCTCTGGCGAGAATAAAATTTTTAGGGTTTAATAAATACTGCTTCGATAGAAAACAAATAAACCATAGACAACAATTACAGGGAAACAATAACACATTTAACATAAAATATTGCATTGATCTAAAATAAAGGGATAACATGGAAATACTTATCTAAAGGGTGGGCAATAAAGGTAAGTATATGGTGCATCAGAATAAGTTATAATAAGTAATACAAAGACATAAGACAGTTTATCAAAACATTCACGACTGATTTCATACAACTTAATTACATGTACCTTACGTATCATCATATTATCAAGTCAACGACATTGCTTTTCTACTCTCCGGATTTTAAATCAGAAATCTCACATTTATGGCAGAGGTAAATTCTCTGTGAACGGCTCTTTCATTTCTTTATTCTCATCCCAAGTACAAAGATTGGTTGTCAGGCAATGAAATACCTTCCCACAGTAGCTGAGTCATCAGAGCTGTTCACAAATTTGATATTGGCTTTTAATTCTTTTTCATGATAACATTTATTAAACAAAACTTATACCGGTTGTCAGATGATAACCATAGCTGTTTGAGTTACCATGAAAAATCCACTTCTTTGACCAGGATGACATTTTTCAAATTGTTTAATTTCTGATTAATATTGGAAATCAGTAGGATCCTTTGTCTGATGAACATAAACACTGTGTATAAATTTCAAGTTAAGCGGATGATAAGTTTAGCCTCTAAGACTGACGGATCAATGACAATATACGACCACATTTCAACGTGGGCATATATAAAAAATTCAAACTTGGTGGTGAGCAATCTCAAAGTGTTACAAAGCTCCTATAAACTATTTTGGCAATCATTTCCAAATTGTTCGTTATTTTGAGCTGAAACTTTCAGACTGGGTACATACCTGTGTAAACTTCCTTACCCTTGTAAATTTGGATTTCAAAAACATGTAACTCTTATAAGTGTTATTGACAAACAAAATAATTTTTGTCAACAAATAAATGACATACATTTTCAATTCAACAATGACTGGCTATTACAGGTATCATCAAAACATTAAACTAAGAAGTCTCAAAAGCAAATTACATGCATATCTAACAAGAACCCTTTAAAAGGTACCCAGTCACCTATCAATCTACAAGTAAATTTTGGTTAATTTTTGTTTTTCATATATTTCTGACTAATCTTTTTTTCACTAAGATACAAACGGTACCATTAAGAAGCCCTAGGCCACACCAATTGATTTTCTGTTATTCACAGTCTGGATATAAAAAAATAGCCACTTGGATCACATGAAAAATATTTAATTTAAAATTTCAAAACTCTAGAATTAGGAACTAAAAGTGCAACCATGTACTTTTGGTTAATCCTTATAAGACATATAGAAATAGATTCACTAAAAATAAACACACTTGTATGGATATATTACTTCTGAATTTTATTAACATGCTACGTTTCAATACACATACAGGTATCGTTATCAGCTATGTTTCAATATACATACAGGTATTATTACAGCTTGATAACGATACCTGTATGTGTATTGAAACGTAGCATGTTAATAAAATTCAGAAGTAGTATATGCATACAAGTGTGTTTATGTTTATGTACTTTTGGTTTTTAAAATTAGTCTTTTTCCTAAAGAAATAAGAAGAAAATTTTTAACAGATGTTCCTAAAGAATAGAAATTCAAATTGTGTGGCCTTAGATTAATCAATACATGATAAGCACAGTTGTTCACTTGATAAAATGAATTCTAGATAATATCCATACAAAATAAAAGTCATTCCACAACCGCAAGTACAATATTGATAATACATGACATTTACACATCTTCCATATCGGGTTTTGGCACTCATTAAAGGTTTTGAAGACTACAAAAGATGCAATAACAAATTTGTTCACCGCTTATGATCAAAATAGTCTTTGGTCTTCCTTGATGAGATATGAAAATATCTGATAATGTGATATGTTCGTTACACGGAACTGGCAAGTTTATATCTCCTTTCATTTAAAAAATGGACGAAATACTTTTGAGCACTTAATGAGAGCAACAAAATAATCAAATCTCGCTTTTTTAACAATTAAAAATTTGTTCAATTGCCCGTTAGAATGTTCGGAAATCGTATAATCCTTTTTTTTGAGCAGCAGCACATTTAACACTTTAATAAAACATATCACTGTTTATAATAACACATTTAACAAATACTGATTCCATTTAAATCTTAAAAACACACACACACACATCTCTAGCATTACTCTTCTTTTAAACCACCATTCATTGTCGAGGAAACGGAAAAAGAAACAGTTCTCTTCTCGCGACGAAATGCTGTAATAAGTCTATCATATATTTCACTCCTCACTGTATGTGTAAATTTGGTCACCAAACAAAGAGCTGTACACACAGCAAATATTAAGTTGTAGGTGAAAATGATGTAAAAATTACCTAACCAGTCCATACTTCCAAAATTTCCAATCAAATCGAAGTTTGTGATACCTGAAAAACAAAAACAGAACTTTACAGAAGATATAGGTTGATTCGTCTCATGAGAATAAATTAGATGACTATAATGACGACCAGACAGGGATGATGACTATATATAACAACATTTAAACATGGTTTAACATTTACTCAACACAATTAAGTGATTTGTATCATTTGCTTGATAAGATGAGACTATTCTTGTTGAAACATTGCATAGTAATAAATTCAGAAATTGTGCTAGATTCTAAATAAGTAAATGCCTAGCGAAGAGATGAAGTGATTTCGAGACTAACAAATCATATATCTTCTATACCTTGTTTGGCTTTACAGTCACAGGTTCAAAAATACAATTATACTGGTCACAGACTTCAGATCCCTTATGCAGTGTTGTAGATCCCACCCATGGCTATCCCCTATTTCTATTCTGATAAAGAAATCAATTGATTTCTGTATATCAGGCTAAATTTGTCTCAAATTAAAGGGACACACCCACACGAACACTTTTTACATTGTTGTTAAAAGAGACTAAATAACAATAATATTAGTGAAAATCATCAATACTAACCCAAGGTTTTAGTGAGTATTGGTAATGCTGAGCTTAAAATAAGAATAATAACACAGTTAGCAATTATTTTCACCATGGCAGTGTCGTGATCTTTTGGTTGTAAATGACGAAAACCTGGAAGACTGTAAAGTCCAACAACAGATGCAGACATTATATAACTGTTCTTATATAAGGAAAGTAATATTAAATTATCTTAATTCAAAATTTAAAGTTAAAAGTTAATACCAAGCAATACCAAATTACTAACCATGGAGGGTGGGGACGTGGGGGGGTTGTTTCAAGGGGAACAACTTTGACTTTTATGTTTTTTCTTGAGTTTTTCTATTTTTACACACTTGTATTATCATGTATTCTAAATTTCTGTAACATGCTTTACTTCATGAAGTCATACTACAAACTGCACAAGGCAGGATATGCTTATTCTTTCTGGAACACCAGCAACCACTTAACTCTAGGCTCTTCTCTGACAGAGGTGTATTCCAGCATTTTGACATTTGGATTAATTTGGCATTATATTTTTTGGGGACATTTCGGGTTGTCGGTGCCATACTGTTGTATGTTTTGTTGAGCCATTGTTCTGCACTGTCTGATTATTTATGGAAAAACAAACCAAACTGTTTGATTGCTCCCACTTATGAAAGAAAATCTTTTTCGTTTGGTCTATCATAAATTTACAAGCCAGCATTCTATTTTAAAGGATACAAAATCAGTAGAATTTCAACCACAGCTCCAACTGGACCAAAAGCCGATAGTGAAGATATACCAATAACAGCATCCTTAAACAAAAATAACAATATCAGTTTCTATCATGAAATTCTATGTACTAATAAGTTTTTATCAATTCAGAACACGTAAATATTGACTACCCTGGTTCTTTTGAAGAAAATTATAGAAAGGATGTGTCTCATACCAGTACATCCCTGTAACTACTATTGCTTATTTAGATCACCGCTTGAGTTATGTAAATATTTCTGTGTACTGTACAACAGTGCACTAGTTCTTCGGGGCACCACAGCTATTTAATTGACTCAGATGGTTTTATTTTGTGGCTTGGGGAATATTACTTATTTATAATTGATCAATTTTCCAACCATATCACTGGGATTATTCCATCCATTTGCTGAATATTCAGTAAGGAGTTAATTTGTCACAGTCTTGGATTTTAATAAAAGAAATGCTACATGGAATATAACAGCTGCTGATATGCATACGAAGAATATTTTTTATAAAGAATAAAAAAACAAAATTAAATGAAGCATACCTTAGCACCTCTGGGTAATGCTTTTATACCAACCAGCAGTAATAGAGTATTGTGAGCAACAAGTAAAACACTAAAAACCTGTAATAAAATATTCCATTTATTAAAATAACTTTGCAATATATATTTTTTGACAATTTGGAAGTATGCCACGTTACAATCTATTGAACCTATGTTATAAAGATTTATTTTGATTATCATAAATTGAATAACAAAGTATGTTTTTTGTTGTTTTCCATTGAGTTATAAACTTTTTGCAAGTTATTGTTACATTTTAGTTAGCTCTTTATAAAGTTAATAAATAGTATCAAATAGTCAGGTTTATTAAACATACATTATGCAAGAGCTAAATCTGTCTATTTCAGGTCTTTCTTTAGGCCTGAAATGTTATCTAAATTATTAATTAGACATTAATTAACCTATCCAGACCATAATCAACTCTAGATGGCATCGCTAGCCTGCGATCTTTAGTGGATTATGAGCCGATTTACTGCATAACTTTCCTTCACGATTTAACAATTAAATGGATAATCAAGACTCTGCTGTTTATCGTACTGACTTTAGTAATGATGATCGAGGCTAGGCGGACATTTCAATCGCTTAGTTCTCGGTTCATAGTGGATCAATTTGATTGAAATTTTCAGCAAGATTTAACGATTAAATGGATAATCGAAACTCTGCTGTTTATCGTACTGATCGAGGCTAGGCGGAAATTTCAATCGCTTAGTTCTCGGTTCATAGTGGATCAATTTGAATGAAATTTTCAGCAAATTGCCTTTACATTATCTAGTTTTTAACTATTATCGAATCTCCCATAATGTATCTTTAAGGCATTCAATGAAAAAATGAATCAGTCATCATTTTTAAACATCACAATATTTTAAATACAAACTTTCAGTCAAAAAGAACTTAATTTTTTTTAGTGAAAACTAAAACTTGTCCATAAAAACATGTTGGAAAACTATTGTTGCTGCTGTTGAGGTGGTTGTACTTGTCACTCCCCTGTGAACATTGGAGCTGGATCAGATATGATCAGGGGTACAAGGCATTTTTTAAAATAATACACTGACATAAAAATAATATCCTGGGTAACAGTTTTGAAATAAACTTTTAAAAATGTATTGATTTATTAAAATACTCACAGTTAAAGCCAATAACAAAAGCATGACTATTGGAAAGACTAGATTACGCCTTAAAGATGATACTTGTTGACGTTTTTCTGTAAAGGTAAAATAAATCTGAAATCATTGCTGTAAACAACATAATAATATTTACATAAGTTGTAAGACTGCACAATTTTTTTTTATGATGGTTGGTAGTCCGCAATATGACCTTGAGGGAGAACACTAAACAGATCGTTTAGGGACTAACACATTTTATTTCAATAACTCCCTCCCACACAGGAAATAAAGCGGGGTAGACAGAAAAAAACACCTGGTTAGACAGACTTAGCATCCTATAAAACCGGGATCAAAACCATGACTTATACAGACCCTAAGATCTAAAGAGCACAGGTTAGACACTCAGCCATCATGTCACTGCAACAAAGGCAAATAGCATGAAGGACATTTTACAAGGCCAACTGATTCTTGCATGCTCTTTGAAATATATAAATTAATACAAAAGATTATTACCTAATTCCTGGATTTCTGATTTAGCTTCCTTTAACTGATCTTGTAATAACTCTAAATTCGGATGTCCATTGGCTATTTGACATGGAGCTAAATTAAAGAAAAATAAATGTTATTTCATTTGGTGTTTGTTTTAATAAGTTTTATTGTCCACATTCTGTGAACCGAAGGACTATTGTAGCGAGTCTCTCTCTCAGTTCAACCAATTTCATATAAACACTTTACAGGACAGAGTTGCTCAGATTTATATTTTTCAAAATTGCTAAGTTGGTATGGCTTGTCAAGAGGAACCCTATTGAAATTCAAGGTCTTGCATGAATTTGCTACAGGGTTATTGCTCTGAAGCCTTGTAAACACCCTACTGGTCAGAATGTTTATCGATCAAGCTATGATTTTAGGCCTGTAATTAGACTACTACATTGAATATTGAAATTCTGATTCATGTATCACCAAAACGGTGACAATATACTACAGGTCAGGCATACCGTATTTCTTTTGTATTCAGATATTGCTTAAAACTGGCTGGTTTGTTCATTTGGTCATAAGGATGAACCACTTCAATTCAGTCATCTATTTTTCGAATCTGTGTCCATAAAACTTTTCAAATTGAGTTACATCACAATACTGTGACAACCCTCATGTCAACCCGCTTCATCAGATAATGAATTTTACAGGTAAAGTAATCACAAGACAATACAACGTGTCAGTCAGCAAAGGTCTGTATGTAATTACTGAATTGCAATAGGATTCTTCTTCTCTCTATAACCTAAACAAGACATATGACTGTCAAGCATTCACATGATTCTATAAAATATGCAAAGGTAATAACTCTGGGAGTTACAGGCAATATATTTCAATTTAATGAATCTATTAAACATCTAAACAGTCTCATATCAACACTTGGATATCCAATACTCAATCTGATTAAAAAACAGATCCTATTTCGGTTTGTTTTTTATAATTCAAAATTTAGTTTTACTTGTCTTTACCATACCAGTATGTTATATAACCTGCGTTCTGGTTGTGGCGAGTTCTTGGCATGCGGTGCACAGAACTGTGGGTAGGCATTGGCAGTGAAGACAAAGCAAAAGTTGTATTTTCAAATACCCACTTAGCTGCTCGTATGACCCCTGACGCAACCTCCCACTACAACCGCTCAGATATTCATTTAGTGGAGGCCATTGAAAGTATAAGGCAACAGAACTAAATGTAGATCTGTATTTTAATAAGATTGTCCAATACTTATTGCTAATTACCTGTATTTCTATACTGTATTTTACGAACTATATTTTCTCCTTCTAATCTTGCTGTACATAATTCTTCATCTATATCACGAAATAACTAAAACATTAAAAAAAATAAATCAAAAGTTTTATTATAAAATGCCAGTCAATGAAACATCAGGGTTATCCAAGCAGGCTTTAAAGGTTATCACATAGTGATTCTGGAGAATTTACACGACAAAAAAATGATCATGGGCAGCAACCCCCTTAGCAACAGTTATAGTAGATATAAACATAAAGATTATATGATCGGTGTTACTTTCAATCCATTGCCAAAGCCGTCAAGGAAAGATCCATGGTTACTGGCGTTCTCATAACTTCAGCTATCTTTCAGTACATAGACTATTTTTAAAATATCATTTTTGTCTCACACATTTAAACAAATAAAAATATTCAGATATAGTCATTATCTAAAAATGTTTTATAAACATAAATACAATTGCTGTACATATCTCATCACAATTGGACCTATTCGGCAATAGCCGGTACGGTAGGTTTACTTATTTTCGTTTTTAAATCGCTAAAATTAACAGTTCCAAAAGGAATTAAACAATAAATATAGCACTCTATAGCTTTAAATTCCTTTGCCCATGCATGACCGGGAGTTCTGTTATTATCCCTTCACATTTCTTCAAATGGGGACAACTGGTCCAGATCCTCCTTACGATGAAGACTAGGAGGTTCTTGGTAACCGAGACTACAGGCTTCTTCATGTCATGAATTTGAACACAGTGTATAAGTGATCAAAAGCAATAATTGAATATTGTTAAGAAAAGCAAACGCTCATGATCAGAAAACATGTAATCAAAATAATATAATTTTTTGTTAAAATGATTTAACTATCAAATATAATACCTTAGGTTTAACAACTAACTGGGCCATAACAGTGAATAATCTAGCGAACCCAACAGGTGTACACACTAAAAATAGAATCATGTTTATTAGTTTTACTAAAAGGAATCATAATATTTAGGGTTTCACACTGCGTAGCTTGTGTGAAACACTATTGTTTTTGTTAAAATTATTATTCTTATTATTATTATTCTTCTTTTGTTTTGAGTAGATCTCAGCAATTGATTGTCGGATCGTTACGATTTCTTCGGTTTTATCGGAAAAGTGGGTGTGACTTAGAGGATAAAGCTATTTTGAACGTTCTGCGACAATGCGAAATGTCCGAAATCACCGAAGCTATCGTTTTTAGAAATATTGCAGTAATTTTAACAATAATCATTGGATTTTAACTTTGGATGCATTTTGGCATAGCCGGAGACGGGGCACATAGCTACGCTACTTTTGATTTATAATTTTCGGCAAATCTTCGCAGATATTAGGCGCTAAATTTAGAAAATTTAAATTTTTACAAAAAACTTTTTTATTTATGAATATTTTTTGGTCGTGTTTTACACAAATATAACGAGTCCTCTGACTTGGGCAAAAATGTGAAAAAATTTTGTCTCGGTAATTTTCCTTGGCCCCCATTGGCTAATTCAGTTTTTCAGTCCTAGATTAATTATTTATTGTTCGATTTGTATAAAACAAAGTTCATATGCTCCGTTGTCTCAATTGCCATTTTTTTTGTTACCAATAGTGTTATCTGTCGGCACCGGAAGTGGCGTAAATTGACAAAAAACTACAATTTTGACAGTTAGGTACCATTTTTCGAAAGCAAATTTTTTTTTTTTCAAATCTGGTATAACTGAAATTGTGCGCTCTTTAAAGGCGCACAAAATGTTGGGACCAGTTTTTTTAATTTCGATTCCGTTTTCGGGCTATTTCGATTAAAAGGTGAAAAAAGGTGTAAAATTAAGCTATTTACAACCCATCCAGCGTTTTCATATTTTAAAATATTACTTCGTAACTTTCATAAACTCGTAGCAATAATCTATACGGAGAGAATGTATGTGAAAATTAATTTGTAATATGCGCAGTTGCCGAGAAATGGGCAATTTTGCATGAGTCACTTTTTACGCTAGTTTGCCTGTAAAAGAGTCAATTATTATTCGATTTTCATAAAAGTGACACCATTTGATGTGTAATGTCAATTTTAACTAGGTCAAACCAATTTAACATTTTCAATATCACCGGAAATGACGTAATTTGGGCAAAAATTGTATTTATAGCCTTCGAAACCAGTAATTTATTCAAATGAGTCATATTTGTTATTTGTTTAAAATTGTGATATTTGATTCAAATCAACTAATACAATGAACCCTTACGATCATATAGATATCACAAAATGGTTTCTAACTTGTTCAGTTGCGGAGAAATAGGCAATTTTCAACAGGTCACTTTTTAAGGTTTTTTGTCAATAAAAGTGTCAATTATTATTCGATTTTCATGAAATTTTCACTGTGTGATACATAATGCCATTTACGATTTCATACAAGTAATTTAAGATTTTCATTATCACCTGAAGTAACGTCATTTTGGCAAAAACTGTATTTTTAGCCTTCAAAACAGATATTTTATTCAAATGAATCAGATTTGTAATGTTTTTAAAATTATGATATTTGATTCCAATCAACAAATAGAATGAACTCATTCGATCATACAGATACCTCAAAATGGTTTCTAACTTGTACGGTTGCAGAGAAATAGGCGATTTTCTACAAGTCATTTTTCAAGGTTTTTGGTCTATAAAGGTGGCAATTATTATAGGATTTACATAAAATTTTCACCATGTGATGATGCTATTTCTGATTTCATAAACCAATTTAACATTTTCATTATCACCGGAAGTAATGTAATTTTGACAGGATCACTGACATGTAGCAAATGAATTGATTGCTGGATTTGGTTGTTTCTGCGTCCATTTTATTTCATGTGTGCAATGCTTATGTGGAAACCTGTTTAACGGTTTCATTGGTACCGGAAGTGACATAAGTTCAAGGGTAACGTGGCACCAGTGAAACCCGTCATTACTGCTTCGCAGTTCTAGTTTTAAATTGTTAACACAAATTGTACATTTCCTATCAATTGACAACATTATTTCAGCTACTTGATCACAATGTTTGTTAGTCCCTCCGATGAAACAAATTTGCTCTAATTTAATTTGGCTTATTATTTATACACACAATAATTAACAAGTTGGTGTGAAAGCTTAACTCTTTCAAAGTCGGTGTATAAAATAGCCCAGCTCAACACAAAATTAATTAAAGTAATTGCTTTAGATAATTTAAAATGTTAACTGATGCAAGTTCATTTTCTAAATATACTTACACAATAATACTAAAACTCCTAGAAAGGATATACAAGAATACAAATACGGTAAATATATATTCCACATATCTGAAAGAATAAACATACAATACTCTTTATGAAATCATTTGCATATCCTCAACATAGATCGACATTTAGTTACAGAAAATTTACTGTCCAAAAATACTTGGCTCTTTCTATCCTCGTACAACACACTGCTCCCCATTCAAACAATTTGGCAGATAATTCTTGTCTACATCCTATATATGCCACTTTTTTTCTAGCTTTTTGAAAACTTTTTGCTGCATTTTAGTTTGTGATCAAAAGGTGCAGAATTTCAGTAACTCAAAAATAATTGACCATATCATACATGTATTATTTATAGTGAAACAATCACCTCCAGCACTGCCAACTGGACTATGATTAAAATAGGACAGTTTTTGATAGGAATATCTTTTACACAAAATCAACAGCAAAACTGGGTCAAAGTTATGTTTCAACACAAAATTTACTATAAAAGTACATACTTACCAAATAAAGTTTTTTTGCTATTTTGATCATCATTTATAAGGGCAGATGCCACAAAGGCTAAACCTAATACTAAAATTGCTAATAAAATTAAAACAATCGTTGTTTCTTTTACTCTGGCCATAACACCCTTCAAATATAAAAAGATATATACATTCTCACAATAGAAACACATTCCACTAGGTTATATTATAGGTTTTTTTTCTTCTTGAAAAACAAATACACCCAATGTAGTAAACTGGGGAGCATTCTGTAATACAAGTTAGTTGTTCTTTGTAACATGCTAAACTCTGTACCCTGTACATAAAATTTAGTTTAAAAAGTTACTCATAGTGAGAAATACAAGAGTGAGAGAAAGAGAGAGAAACAGAAGCTAAGTAATTTTGTTACTAACATCGCATAATGGGAGAAAATGACTTCGGGGAGAAAACCCACAAGGTTAAGCAGGAAAACCTTATTCCTTGTCACATACAAGTGTGGGAACCACGCCACTCGACTCAATGATAGATCATTCGGCGACCAACCCTCCGAAATTCAAGAGAACTGTAAAACTCTGACCTGAATGGAACAATTACCTAGTCTAGTGCACATAATCTAATTGTAAGAATATCCATTCACATTTATTATGATTTAAACCGATGAATTCCCAAAAATTAATATCTAAATTATTCCGTTACCTTTTTTGATCCTGAAAAACCTTCTGCCTCAGTGAAGAAGTAGGCAAATGGCATCAATATAAAAAGAGCCGAGTTTGAAAATAAAAACACCTGATTCCATAATCCTAAAAAATACAAAATCAATGCATTTTAAAAATGTCTTTATAATAACACCAAGTAAAGTAGAGATATATTAGTCTTTATACCTTAGAGTGTCTGCCTACTTAAAAGAAGTCATCAATCATTTTATTCTCACCTTTCTCAATAAATCTAGGTTCTCTTATAAGAATACTGACCTACATTTTGTAAACTAAATCATATTTGCAATTTTTTTCCACATTAACTGGCTGTCAAAATATTTATATAATATAGGGCAAGTTTGGTTGTTTTTTTTCATCCATTTTCGTCCACCACTTTGAGAAAAAAAAAAATGCTAGGAAATCATAAGGGTTTTATCAATTTTTTCTGGCTTTCACATGCCAATTTCTTTATTTTGATCATGTGAAATACAGCTTTCAGCATGTCAATGTGATTTATAATGTATGGAAGTGATTGATGTGGATTTTTTAATTTAAACTGAACCTGTATGTAATCTGGTACATGTATTATGTTAAAGTCTACTGTATTTAATTTAATAAGGTTAGATATAACAACAGCTGACAATGATTAACAGATCACATGGTGGGCATTTATAGATCGGGCATATAATGGATACATTCAAGAAATTGTCAGTTCTTCACGGTACACATACTTTTAAAAGAGCAATATAGATTAACAGATGAACGACTACCTGAGATTAATTAATATAATCAATAAAATCGTTGTGATTGTATTTAAAGTAGATCATACTTTGTACACATAATCATTATACCATTAATATTTTACAAAATTCTTCAATTTATTGATGGTCATGCTAGTTCAAACTGCACACCCTGGCTTATCAAAACTACATATAATTTAAGCAAGACATCCTTTTAAATTAATTTGTGTTGGTTTCAGCAAAATATTACGGTGATTGACATTTTGGGATCAAAATGGTGCTATAACAAATACTGATGGTAATGTGATGGTTTGCCAATTAAATACTTACCATTTATGAGTGAACTGTTCAACCATTTAACATAGTAGCTTTTAGGATAGAGATGTAGAACTTCATTACTGACAATAGATATTGGTAATAACATAACTGCGGCTGCAGATACTGCCAGTGTAAATGTACATAGCCATAATCTGAAGGGAAACAAAACAACCAAAATAATTATCCAATTTATCAATTGAAAACTCTTGAATCAAATAATATTCAGATCAGTATCAATTCAACTCAAAATATCTTATTTTGTTTATAGTGCTATAAGATGGATTCTCTGGTGTATCTATATTTGATGTCTGTCTATACTTAATTGTATCAAGACTAACTTTCTATCATATCAATACTTCAACAAGGGTTTTTGTAATTCTAATTTTGAAAAAATTCATTAGAGTAATTCAACTTATGCAAGCAAAACTGTTTTTACTGAAGAATGATCTATAAAAATAGGGTTTTTCTTTTGAAACTGGATTTTACAATACATAAGTTAGTATAACAATACATTGCAAAACACAGACTATTTCATTCTGTATACTATTCTTAAATGTGAAACTACGAGGAAAAATAAGGCAGATCTTATTCTAGAAAAATAAACCAATTGTGACACACCAATACAGATTTTAATCATTTTCCCATTGATTTATATTACTTACGATATTCTGTACACAATAGCATCTTCTTGTCCTAGAAAAATTAAAACACAGTTTTTCAATTATTCACATAACAAAATGGAAGTAATTAATTATCTATATTTTCTGCAGCACATTGAAATTTTGAGGAGCAAAATAATAATTAAAGACAGGATTAAAGGAATCAAAACAACCTAACCCCACAGCAGTTAAGTCGACCATGCAGACCAAAAAGATAAAAATGGCAAAATCTTTCTAGTTCTAGTGATAAACATCACTATAGCCCAGTACATGTAACTGTTGTAATGAGATATACTTTTACGTTGCCATATCATTCACAATATTGTATAGATTTAGCAAAGAAATTAACTAAACATAAATTGTTGATATTTGCCATGCTCCATTGCCTCAATAATCTGAATAAAGATATAAATTCAGGCAGATTAACTGTCATTTTTAGCTCTTGCATAATATATGTTTAATGAGATATGAGGCAGGGGTCATTGAAATGTATGACTCTATTAAGATATGGTCAATGGAGGTGTAAATATGTTGTAGGCTTATACATGTATACGATTACGTACAATATCATTGTTGTGTAAATATTTGCATGTATTAAACTAATAAAGTAGTATAAAGTACCTCTATGCTTCTATTCATATAAGTTTACTTTTATTATATCCTCGGCTCATGAATATTCATTTAATTCCATTGTTCTTTTGCTTAATTATGCCTATCAGATAGTTATCATTCGTTGAGAGAAGATATTCATACTATGTTGATATTTGAAAAGCAGATGGCTCATGATCCTGTTTATAGATAAGCTTACCTTTTATTACACTTCACTTAGTCTATAAATACTGAAAATAACCCATGTGTGTAAATCTATAGCTCAGTTAGCATGCCTAGTAATAATGCCACATACTTCAGGTTCAGGTACTGACTAAACTCACAAATGCATCAATTATTCAGTCAACATACATGTAACTGAATATGAACAAATTTGCTATAATATTGATTTCAGTAACACATGAATAAGAGCTTAACCAACATTTCAAAGAAAGGATGCATAATCTAAGTTATGCTGGTTTGGGAGAACTTCCCAATTCAATGATTAATTTTTTCTTAACATGAAGGAATTTTGCTAAAACTAAATTTACTATATATACATGTACGCCTAATCACCATTAAAATATAAAACTTACCAGCATACATATCTTCTGAATCCACTTTTCTTTTGAACTGACATATTATAACATATGAGCTTACATACAGTAAAATAAACAATAAGAGGGATATCTGAAAACAATAATATCAGTTATTAAGAATAGGGGCTGAACACTACTGTTCGAGACAGTCTGTTTCCACATATTATAATAATTAAAAAAATATTATTGTCAATTTGACATAAATGGGCTATTTACACGACTGAAGTCGAAAATGACTAGTTGATCATGGTTTAGCAAATATCACACACTTGAACACAATTGTTGTTATGTGTTTGTTCGTCATGTAAATAAATATGCCTTGATTGTGAGTAATATTGACTCTTCTTTTCGTCATAACTGTATAGATTTTAACTAAGTTTAAAAGAATACCACCACTTTCTACAAGAGGATATCAATGTAATTGTTTTGAATACTATACATTTTTTCAAGTTAAACTTAGATCTATCTAATAGAATTGGAAAGAAAGACCAATTCAGATCAATATATTTTTTTTATGAGCTTCTTCAGTCAACTCATTGAAAACCACCTAAACATTTGTATAATAACTACAATATGTCTCAAATATTGAATATAATTTTAGTTCAATGCACTTGAAGCTAACAGTGATGTTCAAGGATAGAAGTTATAGAATAAAGATGGTGGCATGAAATCAAATGAAAGTAATGTGAACTCAGATAATGATCAACCCTTATGTTTGGAATGATCAATATTAATAACTTTTGGGATCAATATTAATAACTTTTGGGAACAAATTTGAATTTTTGTAAAAACAGTCTTGGCTAAAGTTAACTTTCGAGCAATGTAGGCCTATCAGCCTACAGTCTTTTGGGAGGGAATAAGTTCTGTGCGAACTGATATTTACAAAAAATGGGCATTAAATTCTGAGACTCTCCTCTACTCTAGGCAGCTAGGTTACAATAACTTTCAATAACTTAAGTTAAAATTGAAGAGTAGTACATTAATAGTGCACAGGAACCACAGGCTGATAGTGCTTTCACGGGGCTTGCTGGATGAAGTGTTGGAGCGATTAATTTTGGTGGGGAATAATGTCACACAAAATGAATGAGTGGAGCAGATCAGAGTCTTATTTTAAGACTGGCTAATTAATAATGGGTTAGGTAAACATTTCTTAATATTATCAAACTTTATGGATATAGTACGTGCCAGGTTGAAAAGGAATACAAATATTTTATATTACTTTACATCATTGATTAGCCTACTTATTTTACAATCCAGTACACAATTTATTGACCCTCACTCATGCTCATTCGAAATGATCCACTATGCCTAGATAGATTCAGTCAAAAGTTTTGAGTCCCATCCTCCTATTCCATGCCTAGCACTGAGAAGTCTAGTTTCGATAAATCATGCCTATTTTCATGTTTTATACTGCTTTCTAGTCTATAACTTAGCTATGGTAAATAGTATAGGCCTTTTATTGACGATGATCCAACTATTAGGCATTAGCCTACTAAGGTACTACACAAATAATAAAATCAGAAACGTCATTTTTTTTAATTCTTTCCTGGCTCTGTGCCTGGAACATTTTTGACTTACAATATACTCCCTGACGGCGTTATGAAAAACTTGCTCTTGAATTGAAACATCATAATCATCCATCTTCAATTTGTGTTGATTAAAACTAACTTATTTCAGTGTGATGCTCATTCATGTAATAATTTTCTGTGGTACATTACGCTCGTCTGCATTGTTGTCATTCCGCCATTTAAATTAGGTACCCACAATGCATTTCAGTAGAGAGAGGTCAGTGCGCGAAACGTCACACTGTCATTTTGCTTCACGCAGTCGAAGGAGAAGGTTGTGAAATGCAACACGTTAAGAGACAGGTGTGTGTGAAATTAATATAAACCGAAAGTAGATAAATATAGTAAGCCCCACGTTGTACTTGTAATCTATTGAGCCGTAATCAATTGTAATTTATTGAGCCGTAGTAAAGTTTCCATTATTTATTATTTTATTCTTATATTCTAATTCTTCTTACATGGAACCTCTAAATTAATTGATATCCAATATTTAAGACAAAATAAATATTTTACCATTGCCATTGGTACACGAATCGTGTACCATAATCATCATAATGTGTTTCAGCACCATTTGTAACAACGGACTCGAAGAACGAGGTTAAACATATTCCACAAGTCATGTTAAAGGAGCTAATTAATCGCTAATATTTGGGACCTACAAATTGGCACAAATGGGTCGCAACGTATATAATAATGTAATATGAATGGAAATAAACTGATTTACATTCAATCGTTTCCGTTTTTCCTCAAATTTCAAAGCAGTTATGTTCGGCGAAATATGCAAGAAGTCTCAATCGAATGGCAATATCTAGCGTCTTGTTATTCCAGTCTACACCGATAGTATTTATTGCGCATGCTCTCCAGATAAGAACATGGAGTCGCCGTTTGACATGACTTGTGAAATATGTCTAACCTCGTTCTTCGAGTCGCTTGTTATAAATTGCGCTGAAACGCATTATGGTACACGATTCGTGTACCAATCGTAAAATGTTTATTTTGTCTTAAATATTGGATATCGGATGCCCATCTTTTCCCGGTAAGATCACAACACCAATGTTGATTAAAATTGACAACTTATTTGTCTTTTCAATGTCGAAGGTTTTGGATGATATTGAGTTAGAGACAGCTACTTTAAATGGTGACGTCATATTTTATCTGGAGAGCATGCGTAATTAATACTATCGGTGTAGACTGGAATAACCAGACGCTAGAGATTGTCATTCGATTGAGACTTCTGGTGTATTTCGTCGAACATATCTGACTTGAAATTAGAATAAAAAAACGGAAACGATTGATTGTAAATCAGTTTATATACATAACATTATTATATGCATTGTTACCCATTTGTGTCAATTTTTTGATCCCAAATATTAGCGATTTAGCTCCTTTAAATGTACAATCCCTGACCTTTTTTATAAATTCAAGCCTACTTGGCCATTAACTGGCAAAAAAGCAACAATAAGCAAAAACAAATTTCAGACATTTCCAAGTACTACAGTATTCTAATAAAATATACCTAATTTAATATTTTAATATTTTCACAGGATGCCCATTAATACAAAGAACCGATTTTTATTGCTTTATGGTTCTCAAACTGGACAAGCTAAAGCCATTGCAGAGGAAATCGCTGATAAAGCCGAGAATCACGGTCTTCATGCTGATATTCATTGCATGAGTCAAACAGAGAAAACAGTTGGTATTCTTTTTATTTACAGGAGCTACCTCTTAACTCAATATTATTCTTAATCTTCAACATTAAAAATGCAAATTATTTTCTAATATTGGTCCATTCAATCAATATTGATATTGTTATCTTACCGTGAAAATATGGGCTCCTGATATCCCATCACAACACACATTTTAAAATCAGTTCCAGACATCCAGTTCTTTATGGTCTCAAGAGCCATTTGTAATGAGAAAGCTTGATAAACTAATTCAACCAAATCACCACAAGTCAACGTGGAAGTACAGTAATTAAACATGACTGTTCCACTAACAACCTAACGATTAATTTGTAAACTGGACAAACTGAGTGCAAACGGCTTGTGCCATTACATTTGGACTGCTCACCTATTTTACCTAACATAACTGATTAGAAATTTCAATAATATATTTTAAAAGATAGAATGCATCCATGTTACAATATTGTGCTTTTCGACTCATTTTCATCCATATAAGGTTCCAAAGAACAGTAAGAGACTTAGCTACTTTACAACTGGCGAATTTATTATGGGACACGAAAATGTTGCTGACTTATTGATGTACCAGTAGCTTTTACTAAATCTGATTAGCTTGTAAATTTCAACACAGAATGACTGTAGCTAGCATTGGATAAATGGATTAACTACAAAGAGATATACCCATTTAGACCTAGTAAAATTGATTTTAAGACTTATTGATATTTTTAGTTTAGGTAGATAAAATGATACACAATACCTTACCTATATAGATTTCTATTATTTTGTACTTCATATATTTTTATGGTTATAAATTTGTATATTTTGTTTTATTTATAGTTTAATTTGGAAAAAGAAAACTGTGCAGTATTTGTAGTATCTACAACTGGGGAAGGTGATGCTCCTGATACAGCTTCTAAATTTCTACGAAGATTGCGAAAAAAAACTTTACCCGAGGATTATTTATGTCAACTTAGTTATACAGTATTGGGTATGTAATTTACATCTATATGATCAATTTAGAGTATAAGAAAAATTATAATTTGACTCGAAATGTTTTTTTGCATGGCTTACTATGGCATTGTTTTGATGTGGGTATGCTGACCCTTTTTATGTTAATTTAAAAATTATTCACAGGTTAAGTTATTATGTGGGTGTGATATAGTTTTAATTAACATCTGCTACCACCAAAGTTATATCATCAAAACCAATTGTTTATTCCTAATTTGAAAGAACCAGTCCTTTGATGTTTAAATTCCTACTGAAAACAACACAACTTAAAATTGTGATCAAGGAATCGTATATTCTATTTCAATTCTAAAAGTACTCTCTGAAGTATTACTACCGGTAATAAATAGATTACTTAGCAGCTGGTTGTAGTGTGGTGGTCTATAGTTACGCTACTCGTAACTACAAGACACTACATGATGACAATCAATTCAGATGCTAATGATAGGATCTCTTCATTACTTGATTGATTTTAAGCGTATTAATCATTTGCATATTATATCTATACTTTTATTTTTCATAAGAAAGGGCATAAATAAAATAAATGAAAATAATTCTGATCCACTTAATCTTACGGGAACCTATTTTTGTAGATATAATGCAATTTTTTAAAATCTGTTTGCTGAACTTTTATTTTTACAGATTTTTATTTTCAATTTTAGGTTTAGGTGACACAAACTATACGAACTTTTGTAACTGTGGGAAAACCTTAAACAAACGGATTCTTGAATTGGGTGCAAAACTGTTTTATAATCCTGGCTGGGCAGATGATGGTGTAGGGTAAGTTTAGGTTTATAATTTAGATTTTGTCATTGTGATTAGGATATAAATCAGTCAAATGTGTCAAGGATAAAAGAAAGCCCTAGTATTGTATCTCAGTTATGAATCAGTGCGATTTCTTCTAGTTTTCCTCCGGTTTCCTCCCACTGCTAAAGACCCCTACGCGCAAGTGAATTATTGAAATAAAATTAAACCATATGTTAGTCCCGAAATGACCTAGTTTGTGTCGAGTGGACGTTAAACCCCATTTCTCTCTCTCTCTCTTCTAGTTTTAAATCCGCTGTTCTCACTTTAAATGTCTACATTACTATCCAGTTGTATCTTATTGACTATTGAGCATAGTATAGCCGTTTTGTCTGCAAGGTTGAGGTGGGTGTCATGCACAAGGCAGGATACTACTTCTAACTGTGATAGGGTATGTTCTCTTGTGATGGCTTGGAGTAGCTGACACTTTGATTCACATTATGGATTGACTGTGCTGTGTTTATTTTTCTTTGAATCTAGACATAACGGATGCTTTGTTTTGTTTTTCTTGAGATGAAGCCAAATGGTCTTAAAGTACTGAAATCAACTATTATTGATATATTTGGAATTTAACATGTATATCTTTTCTTCTTTTTTTCTATGAATAGGTTAGAGATTGTGGTAGAACCTTGGCTGGATAATCTATTTGAATCTTTGAAAAAGCAACTCCACATTTCATCAGTGCCAACAGATGCAACCATGGATAATACTGCGTCTAATATGAACAGTAATCAGAGGGAAATATTAGACCCGTTAGAGAAGAAAACAGATTTGAATACTGTAGTTAATCTTCAAATGACTGATAATGATTCTCATTTAGATAACAAAGCATCAAATGCAGACAAAACCATAACGGATCAGGGCTCTGATCTTGGTCAGGACAGTAGCAGGAACAATTCAAGTAGTGATATTGGAAATGAAAATGATTCAAAAACAATTCCCTGTTTGACTTCTACAGTGCCACCATTATCAGACAGTGATCTAACATTACCTGCAATGCCACCATCTTATATTCATGTGACCTTTGATGAAAATCTCACCATTGTAAGAAAGGTTTCTTTTTTTTTTGCAGATTAGGCAATTTTTGAAATATTATTGTGTCAGTTTTATGTGTTTGAATTTGATGAGTTTTTCTTTTTTATAATGTGTGTGGAAAAAGTTAGCTTCATAACAATATTGAGTTATAATTGTAAGTAGGTGGGGTACTATATGGTTTATCACTTAATGTTGTATATATACTTACATATCTACCTTATGTTCAGAACTTGGCATAGTTATATATACAGAAACATAATATTATTTACTTTCTTTTACCCTTCTTATTCTAGGATTTAACAGATTTACCCCGTCAAAATGGCTATCCTTTTCCTTCTGCAAACTCAGATGTGAAAATGGTAGCAATTTCCTCAGCTACAATACTAACATCAAATGATTCTGTTAAAAAAACTCTAAAGATAGGACTGGATATTAAGGTATTTTCTGATATTTGTTAATCATTCGTTATTCCCTTCAATTACATTTGTAGTCAAAGGGGAGATAATAAGTAGTTAGGGTGATTGGTACAGAGTTACCCCCCTTTAGTCTTCACAACACATTTTTTGTTGAGACAAAATAAACCTAAGTTAATATTTAGATTCAGATGAGAGAGAGTTAGAGTGTAACATCCATCCGACACATACTAGGTCAATTTGGGACTAACATATGACTCAATTTTATTTCACAGCATAGGGTGTTATTGGTGGGAGGAGTTTAGATAACATATTTCAGTATCTTTAATAAGTATTATTCAGTATTGATACATAATTGTGCTCTCTTTTAATTTGTATTATTGTAGAACCGTGGAATAACCTATGAACCTGGTGACGCTGTGTCGATTATTTGTCCAAATAATGAACATGAAGTAAATGATCTACTAAAAAGGTAAGAAGTATTGGGGAGGCCATTTTTCTTTTTCAAGCAATGCTTGATGTGTTGTTATTATTTTATGTGACTTTTGGAATTACTAATGCTCTCTCACAAATATCCTAATATCTTTTAGTGAGATAAATGTTAGTGCTGGCACAATATTATCTTTGAATTGATGTATTGCGATTCACTTTCTCACAATTCGTGTATTGAATCGCGAGATGCTGAATCGATTTTTCCCGATTGTTTTTTGTCTCTTCAGTAAGTAACCTGTCACTCTTAATTATCCATGTCAGACATTATCCATAGGTATACAAACACTCTTAAATTGTTTTGGTCCTTATTTTGATCCACATCAGTATCGTGATATAAAATAGTTTTATTTCTATGACATCGGTAGGAATAATAATTATCGTCATCCTGTTGTTTTCTTGATAAATATTGACCAGGTTATGAATTGTTATATGAATCGTATCATAGCACCTGTATCACAATACGCATCATGAAAAATCTCTTGTAGATTGAATGTATTAGAAAAAGCTGATACCACTGTAGATTTATCAATTATATCTGATACAAAAAAGAGAAGAGCTGTGATACCACCTCACATACCAGAACAAGCCACATTACGTCATATATTTCTCACATGTATTGATATCAGAGAACCCCCTAAAAAGGTATGTTAGAACATTTTGAGACAAGTGCTGCCTGTATGCAATGGACTGAGAATTTTATGTCTTATTAAAATTCATACAATTTTTTTTTATTAGAACAATTTAATTTTGCATATAGCTTCTATGCATTCATAAATTATACACATATTGCAGTTGAAATAAGATGTTAAAGAATAATGAAATAACTAGGTATAGAGAACTAAATTCACAGAAAATTAGATAGCAATAAGGCTACACTCATTTGAAGTTTTATTCTTCAAGAGCACTTTTTTAAAACATTGCCTTAAATTTCTTAAAGGGGCATTATGGGAGATTAGATAAAGAGCTGACAGTTCTCGCTATAATAGTTAAAAAATAGATAATGTAAAGGGAATGTGCTGAAAACTTCAGTCAAATTGCTCCACTCTGAACCAAGATATTAGCGCTTGAATTTTAGGCCTAGCCACGATCATCATTACTAATGTCGGTACGATAAAAAATAAAGTCTTGATTATCCATTTTGACGTTAAATTATCCATCACAAAATGTATTCAATTCCAGTAAATATTGCTGACTAGCGATGGCCTCGAGATTTGATTATGGTCTGGATAAGTTAATTAATGTCTAATTAATAATTTAGATAACATTTCAGACCTAAAGAAAGACCTGCAATAAGAAGATTTAGCTCTTGCATAATGTATGTTAAAGGAAAAAGATTAATTTAAAAACAAAAAGTAGTTGGTTACTGACTCTGCTCAAAAGCTTTTAGTTCTTAATATTTAAGTTTTGGAATTTTAACAATTGGTTTGGCCTAATTCCTAAACTTTGCCTAGATACATAGATGGATAAAAGATATGTTATTTATATACATGTTATGTTTGTCAGGCATGTCAAATTGTACTTTTATTCTGAAATGGTTGTGGTAATACTTTACTAATTACTTAATTTGTGAATATTGATTAATTTCAGGCCTTATTAAGGGTGTTTGTTGAGCACACAAGCCATCCAAGAGAGAAAAGAAGGCTCCAAGAATTATGTAGTAAGCAGGGCTCTAATGATTACTCCCAGTTTATCAGGGAGCAGTCTTTATCTATAATGGACATTTTAACCGCTTTTCCTTCTTGCCATCCACCATTACATAGTATTTTAGGTAAGAATCTATTAGAGTTTTTTTAAGATTCATTGCTCATTTATCGACCCAACCACCATATGATTAAATATATCTTCACTTCTTTGTTTTTAGACAATGTTTCTTAAGGCCACTCTACAGGGCAGAGTTCTTTACAGATAATGCACTTTAAATTTTGAATGTTAATGATATCTCACTGAACACAATTACAAGAGTACGAGATTATAAGATATTAATGTTAATTGATTTCTTCATTGTAATTTTTCTTATTTCAGAACATACAAGCAGATTAAAACCAAGACCATATTCAGCTTGCAGGTACAGTATATGTGATAACTAAGCTAATGTTATACTTCAGGTTTTAACCAGAAATGTTTTATAGAATTACTTCCCTTTTTTCGCGAGAAATATGAGAATATGTGGTTAATATCAACAAGATTTTTTTTTTGTGTCATGTGAGTTACACAGTATCTGATTTCCAGAATATTTTTGTATATGGTGTATTTGTACTCTGATCTATAAACTGGAATACTTGGATAAAGTGTCTTAATTCAATTTCGCTAACTGCTGTTACGTTTACCACACAGTCTATTTTGGGGATTTTGAGTTGACAATATGAGGTGTAATCGAGTGACTTGCTATAGTAGGAAATGTTTTTGCAGGTTTTAATTCTAAATATAAATAGTTATGTATATTTCAGTGCCCTGTCTGCATGCCCAGATAGACTTGAGTTTGTATTTAATGTATTAGAGATACCAGAAGGAAATGGCAGATGTACAGCTAGACAAGGAGTTTGTACAGGATGGTTAGATAACATAACTAAATCAATACAGACAAATAACGAAGATCTCAATAGTCAGATGTCATCTTTATCTCTTAATGAAGATATCCAGGTAAAACTATCAAGTTGTATTTTCAGTTAGATTTTATCCCAGAAAGTAAATTAAATATCTTAGATTTCATGTGGATTAGACATATATTGGCTATCAACTAAGAATGAATTAAAACTTTGCAAGATGACCCAAATCTGGTTGGTTCATTTCCAAATGGATTAAGAACCCTGGTGGACTTATATTGTTGTCTCTAACATCCAATGATCTGATGGATCATCTTGTCGGATTAATTTCAGTTTCGTAGACATTGTTTGTTAGGTTATTTGCTGATATATATTTCTGGTCACTTGATACAAGACAACGTTCTCAACAAAAGAAATTTTAATACATGATAGCCCTTGTCTATTTTCTAACAACAGCATTATCCAAGGTTTGCAAGACGTGTCATAAATAATGATAAGCAGTCACAAGATATTTTAAAGATAATCATACTGAGTGGATTGAATATATATTCCCCAATATGACTTTCATACCCAGTTCTCCATCGTTTGTACTACTTATCATTATAATCAGGTCTATGATTTTATTTCAGATTCCTATTTTTACAAGGACTAACCAACATTTCCGACCACCGACAGACCTTTCCTGTCCTGTTATTTTTATAGGTCCTGGTACAGGTGTAGCTCCTTTTATAGGATTTTTATTGGAGCGACAGAAACGGAAGCAGTCATTAGTTGAGGAAACTACTTATGGTGAAACATGGCTGTTTTATGGGTGTCGTAATAAGAATAAAGATTATCTTTTCAAGTAAGTTTAGAGTTTGAAGAATTCTCTCTTTCAGAATGATGGGTGATACTTGATTGAGCGTTCTGGAATTGAATTCACGAAATAGTGACTATTGTGAGGAAAGGAGGATTTCGGGCTATGAAGCATGCATGGCTGCATAAGAAAATATCTCAACCAACCATAACAGCTGAAACCATATTCGTTGTTTTTAAGTACATTCCGATTCTACTAACCACCTCAGTGACGGGAAATGAAAATGAAATGGGTTTAACGTAATGCTGTTCTGCTCTGACTGGGCTAATGAAGACAGGCATATGCCATACAGTGTGCTATGACGGAAATCTTGCACATACAGCGGTACTATGGCCTACTCTTATATCGTATTCCAACTGTCAAGGGATCTTTTAGGTGCACACCATTTTGTACACAGGTCCTCGGTTTTCTGTCCCATCCAAACAACTATAATTATCCCTTGCCAGGCCCTCCATCCTGCACCACTTAGAAGGTGGAACTGAGCAGGGAAATTCCTGATGAACTTTTTCGACCAAAGCAGGAATCGAACACGGGATCCCCCAGGTTAGCGAGTTAATGTCTTACTCACTGAGCCTCCCTCAGTGACGGGACTGACGGAACTGTGACATTACTGAATTCCGCATCACTCAGTCAAAATTCTGTCCACTTGCAACGTCCCAACTAATAATTGAGCATCCCCATGGTTTCAAGTGGCTAGGGGACTGAACCCAAAATTTGAATGTCAGCTTTTCAATTTTTGGTTTTATAATATAAAAACATTTTTGAGTGTAACACCTTAAGGATAAAATAGTACATTGTTTTGATTTTTGAGATCTATGTGAATAATCTGGCCTGTTGTGCCTTTAAAGTTTAAGTTTAGTTCCTTCTTGCAATACAACAGATAAACATTAAACTATGTCAATAAGAATTTTCATTTACATATTTAAAGGCAGGAATTGGAAGATTTTCATGGTTCCGGAACCTTAAACAAACTATGTGTGTGTTTTTCTCGAGATGATCAGCCCGAAGATTCACCAAGATATGTGCAAGATTTTCTGCTTCAGGAGACAGATGCCATTAGTAAATTGATAGAGACTGAAAAGTTACTTATTTATGTTTGTGGGGATGCTAAAAATATGGCTAAAGATGTTAATGAAGCCTTAGCTAAAATAATTAAAACTAAAATGGGTATGTATAAAGATTATAGATAGAGGTAAAACATCCATTGCCATCTTGAGACTTTAAAAACAGTAATGAGTCTATGCAAATCAGAATAATTTGTCATCATTATCTGCTATTAATCATACTAACTGGTGAATGTTGAATATGCATATTAATTTAGATATTCCAACAGTTTAAGCTCTGGTACTTGCCTTTTTTTTTAATAATGCCAATTATTTTCTCTCTATAACATCACTAAAGAAACATTATTTTGGTAGCCTACCAATTTAAGAGTTTTCATACATTGTATTTGAAAAATATGGAGGTATGTGAGATTCATTGTAGATCTATACATGAATTATCCGATGGTTTAACATACATGTACAATGTACATTAATTCTTTTATTCTATAAATTGTGGAATGTTTCTGTTATATTTTTGTTTCTTTTGTTAATGTTTTCTAGGTTTATCAGAAGAAGGAGCAAAAAGTTATCTGATGAAAATGAGATTGCACAGAAGGTATTTTGAAGATGTATGGACATAATAAACTTATGACTGATAACTTGTTAATATGAATTAACAGTCAATATGTTCTAATATTGCAAAACAGAACATGAAATGTGACTCTTTTAAACAAGAAACTTTATATTTATTTAAATATAAACACTATATTATATAATCATGGCTGTGATAAAATTTTAACTGCAAGTATACAAAATAAATTTTATGGTAAACTATGTGATTGAATTTCTTTGTATTTGACATCTTTCAATATTTTATCCCTGTGTCTGGTTTCTTTAGAAGCATACTTTAATATAAGACCTACATGTAGACTGTAGAGCCAAGACTTGTCATAGGCTGATAATGGGTTCTTGCCTACAGACTAGAGAGATGGGTTTGATAAACATGTAATTTTAATATACAGGTCACAGATCTATGGAATACAATTACTGTTTATTACTGAGTGATGTTGCAACTATGCTTACGTCTTGATAAAATATCAATGTAATGTAATGTGTTAAAGGAGCAGTTAATTGTCAGAGCAGTGATATTCTTGTATACTATCTAGTTATGTGTGTTTATACATTAGTGCACATTCCATTGTATGGTTGTAATTTATTTACATAAGTCAAAGTCAAGCTCTTTCTGCATGCAACTGAATAAGTGGCCATGTACCACAGTATTTCAGTTATTGTCTGGTTTGTTTGATTCTACATATGACAAATGGTTTCATGCAACTACAATGGAGCAAATAATTTTGTTAATTATTAAAGTGGCAGATTTCTTATGGGTTGAATTATTTGACGTTTGTACTAATTAACTGGATTGTGAATTGAGTGACTGTTAAAGATTAGGTGAGAAGTTGATTGTCTTTCTAATCAACAAGTAATAATCTTTTGACTAGTTAATGTATTAAGATGGGCATATGACACCATAAAAGAGTTAATAACTTAATTACTTCATCAATCTCGCCTGTGTTCAACAAAAATTGAGATTACTAATAGTTATACTCTTTGTACAGTTAATATATTGGGGAATTTTGAATATGATTCACCATATTTTAATGTCTGATTCAGAATATTCCTGGTCGGACGTTTGCGGACTTGCGTAGGACATGTCCAGCATGTTCCAGCAAAACAGCATCCATGGGTGAATTTTAGATTTACAGATTTTAAAATCTTTTTGACACAGAATATTATCTATAGCTGTGAAGTACTATTATATCATTTTGTCATCTCATTTGGTCGTCTGTCTAGCCTCATAGGTTTTCTCCGGGTCCTCCGGTTTCCTCCCAGTGCTAAAGACCCCTATTGAAATAAAATTGAACCATGTGTTAGTCCCAAAATGACCTAGTTTGTGTCACGTGGACGTTAAACCCCATTTCTCTCTCTTTCTCTCTGATTAACATAAAATAATTAAATTCTGAATAAATAACAGTAGTAAAAGTTTTATTGTCCCCCGCCTTTCGAAGAAAGCAGGGGACTATTAAAATGGGTTCGTCCGTCTGTCTGTCTGTCTGTCTGTCTGTCTGTCCGTCCGTCTGTCTGTCCGTCACACTTTTTGGGACACAATAACTCTCTTCCTAATTGAGCTAGAATGTTCAAACTTGGTGTATGTGTTTATTAGGTCAATGCCTTGATGGAGTTCGAAGATGAGCATTTTCCGCTTAGGGTAAGCAGAGATAAGCAATTTGATTGGTTGATGCTTTGGGACACGATAACTCTCTTCCTAATTGGGCTAGAATGTTCAAACTTGGTGTAGGTGTTGATTAGGTCAATGCCTTGATGGAGTTCGAAGATGAGCATTTTCCGCTTAGGGTAAGCAGAGATAAGCAATTTGATTGGTTGATGCTTTGGGACACGATAACTTTAGTTCTAATTAAGTGAGAGTGATGAAACTTGGTGTATAGTTTCATTACATCAATACCTTGACTAAGTTCGATAATGAGCAGGGCGATAAGCAATTTGATTGGCCAAAACTTTGGAACACAATAACTCTCCTTCTAATTGAGCTAAAATGTTCAAACTTGGTGTAGATTTTTATTAGGTCAATGCCTTGATGGAGTGTGAAGATGAGCATTTTCTGCTTAGGGTTAATTTGATTGGTTGATGCTTTGGGACATGCTGACTTTAGTTCCAATTAAGTGAGAGTGATGAAACTTGGTGTATAGTTTCATTACATCAATACCTTAAGTTCGATATTGAGCATTTTCTGGACGAAAAACCAAGGTCCCGTGTACACATTGGCGTGCACATAAAAGATCCCTTGGCAGTTGGAATTCGATATACGAGTAGACCATAGTGCCACTGCCCGGGCAAAATTAACCTCATAGCACACTGTATGGCGTATGCCCGTCTTCATTAGCCCAGTATAGGAGCAGAACAGTAGGACGTTAAACCCCATTTCATTTCATTTCATTTCTAATTGAGCTAGAATGTTCAAACTTGGTGTAGGTGTTTATGAGGCTAATGCCTTGATAGAGTGTGAAGATGAGCATTTTCTGCTTATGGTATGTAGAGATAAGCAATTTGATTGGTTGATGCTTTGGGACACGATGACTTTAGTTCTAATAAAGTGAGAGTGAGAACTTGGTGTATAGTTTCATTACATCAATACCTTGAATAAGTTCGATGATGAGAATTGTCTGCTTAGGCTAAGGAGCAATAAGCATTTTGATTGGTCAAGACTTTGGAACATAACAACTCTCCTTCTAATTGAGGTAGAATGTTTAAACTTGATGTAGATGTTCGTCTTGACTGAGTTCAATGATTAACGTATCGAGCTAAAGCTAAGCAGAGATAAGCAATTTCCTTGGTCAATGCTTTGGGACAAGATAACTTTGATTCTATCTGATAGAGAGTGATGAAAGTTAGTGTATAGTTGATAATCAGTTTGATTGCTCGATACTTTTGAAAAAAATAGATGTGCGATTAATTAATATGTGTCATCTATTTATTTGGGGATTTCGGCGGGGGACATCAGCCTCACTTTTGGCTTGTTAATTATGTCACAATCTTGGTTAAGCATATTACAATTTTGTACATGTATAAAATGCATGATTAAAATTGGGAACTAATTCTCTGCTACAAGCACGGTTATTTCGAATCATACTAAAATAAACCAGAGGTGAAATCCAACATTTCTTAAATATAGGTTACTAGGGAACAAAACACCCACCCAGCATCAGCTTAGTCATCTATGCATTTATGAGCTAAACAACTAAAAAAATAAGATCATGAAGTCCCTCAAGTGCTAAAAGGATTTTGTAACAAAAGGGCATAAGTTTGGAAGTTGTTAAAGAAAATGGTGGAAAATCAATAGGATTCTTCCTTTCGATAAGATAGACAACTAATATATACATTTTGGAAAAATAGGTTAATAATAATAATCATTTCAATCTGAAAGACAATACAAATTACATGTAATTTCAAAATATAGATAGCTAGTAATACCAATGTTTGAACCATATTTAATTATGGGCATATAATAACAAGTTATATAATAACGTTATATGGAACTGAAAAATTATTTAGAAAATCAGTTATTTTCTTGATAACCGGTAAATGAAACAGATAAAACACAATAGAAACTTATGATTATATCAAAATCATGTTTTAATTTCCTCTACAAGATTATATTATATAAATTGAATTGACTGACCCTAATTATTTATAATTTCTTGAGCAATAATGGCAAATATATATTTTTTTAAATCTTTAAATTCATGGCTAATGTTCATGAGTCTTGAATGGTTTTACATGTTTTTCCCATTCTAATTTAAAACCAACGTATGATGAAACAACCCCACAAAAAGCACCAAGTCCCGGGCTAACATATCCTAAACTTGAAAGAGGAATGAAAACGTCACAAAAGTCTTTTAAAAATGTCATCTGAGCACCATGGTAGTCTCTTTTTAAGAGTTGTTTATCGTTTCTATGTTGATGATCCGATTGTCCATGCCTTGATCCAGCTTTTGCTATTTGAGCCTTTACATGGTTGATTTTATGAATATTAATTACCGTTGCTGCTAGAAGGGATACCAACCATGCTCTGGATGCCCATACAGTCCATGTCTTTATTTGTATCTGAAAAGAAAAACGGATAACAAATGAATCTTGCATCAATATATGTGAAATAATCTATATATTTCATTCGAAGTTAACAAATGTAGGATTTCTGAAAAAGCTGTCACAAAAGACAGTTAAACTGTTTCAATGGCATTTAGTAATTGAACTAGAGTATACAGGTCACAATTCTATGGAATACAATTACATGTAATTAAATATACTTCAAAACATCCTTATTTTGATCCAGTAAGTTTTTAACTTTGTGGATTAAAAAGATTTTATGGAAGTCCCAAAAGGAGGTGTGTGATGTAACCCACTCTAGAAGTCTATGAGTATACTTTTAATAATTAGCTAACAATCTTGAAGTAATACCTGTAGTGCTTCCACCTTTCCAAACCATATAATATGATCCAAGATGAGCCACAAGGCTTTAAAAGAATGTGTTGTAACACCCAGTAATGCTTGGTATGTATCTGGCATCTTAAAACTGTCCATAGCTTTATGTATCAGTTCTGTACTGTTGCCCATTCTAAATACTGTTTCAAATTAAAAAGAAATACACATTTTCACAAATATGGTATTCTGATTTCAAGGTTAGCAAAATATGATAAGAAACAAATAATTGACCTTGACAACCACAAAAATCTATTTTTATTTATGGGTCGAAAACTCAAAACTCTGCCATGAATAAATTTACTGAAGCTGAACAGAATTAAAATATATAATGTTTCTTGCTATATTGGCTCGAGTAGGTAACATTTTTTTCTTCCAAGATTTGAAGTGATTTCCACACAAAATATTAAAAAAAAGCATATTCTGTTTAGTATCTTTTGTCATCTACATTGTATCTGACCCCTAAAAGTCATTTGTTTCTGAAAATATGATATTTGTGAGGAAAGGAAATGGGGAATCTGCTACAAATCTTTTTTGATATCAAAGAGACAAGTAGGAGATTTTATTTATCACCCAATAAAAAAGAAGTTACTTTTAATAAAATATGAATTGTTCTTTGAAAAAAAAAGTAGTGCCTTTTTAATTGACCAATCAAATTCATGTAAAGCGACATCTAAGAAATTTATCACACAAGTGATATCTACTGTAGAATGTGTTATATTATTGGGTGATAATATTAAGTATTAATATTGCTTAAATTAAACAAATGATCTATTACTGAATTTCAAACAGTGCTGTCATTGGTAACTAAGCATATGCTGCTAGAACCCACCAAAATATGTATACTATATGACAGGTATAGCTACCTTCAATATGTCAAAAGGGTATCCCCATTCTAAACTGACATCACTCACAAAACACACAACTTCTTTACTTGTACAACTTGCCATATTTAGGTATTCTATTATAGTAGATGCATGATGTCAAAAACTCACAATACAGTTAAACCAAGTAGATTTGTCGTTGATTCCATGATGTTTGAAGGTTTTTGAAGTTTAATATTGTGTAATTCAACATGGTGCCCGGGGGTGGGGGGTAATACTTTTAGATACGGGTTAGTACCAAATAGTTTAATTAAATGACAGTCAAGGTTTGGACTAAAATGCCTTGGAAATTGGAGTGGGAGGCGACTGGTATGTGTCTTTCTTTTGTGGACCTAGGTGTGATTGTCCCTATAATTAACAATTCGGTTACATTTTACATGTACTTACATTTTCTTGAGAGTGCTACAGTTTCTTCCATTTTTTGCAATTTGGATCCCAGGACACTTTTCGAACCCACCTTTTGAATATACCATAAAACCAACCTGGCTCCATATTGGAATATTCTGAAAAATAAATTGTGAAATGATTTTTGATCATGACCAGATATAAAAATATTAAAAACCACCACCACTGCATGGTGTGTTGTAAATTTAGGTTGTGAACCTGTATTTAGAGTTGTGAAAAAAAAAGATATCCCTAAATAATTACCTTGACTGTTTCTAAAACTTTATTCTTTAGGTACGGTATGGTGTAGTACCCTACCAGCTATTTTGAACCTATTAATCCCTTAGATTCTGAACACTATATATCTACTATGATATTCTCTTGTCGTTATCAAGCATGACCTAACGTCTAACCTTGATGTTCACTGCAAGTGCAGTGTGACTATCTGGGAGGTGGAGTCCAAAGTCTTCCTACTAACCTAGTACCCAAATTTGTCAACTATTTAAACTTCTTTAATATATAATAAATAAGAAGTATCAAGTTACGTGCAAAAGAGTGTGATGCATACCCTGGCTCATGCATGACTCACTGCACTACTTAAAAATACTAGATAAATGGACAGACATTTGGATTTCAGGGGCTGAAGGCAAAGGCCAACCATTGTATTATTACCAAAACTGCTCTGCGGGAGTGGACAAGAAGAGTTAGGCCTAGTCATGAGTCAAGTCAACCAACCCAGGATAGCGTACATAAAATGAGATGAGAGAAGGCCTACCTGTATAATTTGTCTTTGGATTGTGTGTATGAATTATATCTTACTATTTCTCTTGAAAATGATGTCATTGTTTATTGTCCCCCTATTAATCCTAAAGGCTAAAGATTGCAATTTTACACGAAAAGGGGGTTTGTTAATGTTTGTTTACGTTTTTACTCAAGGGAAGATAACTCTCATGTAATTTTTTTATATTAAATATTGCCGTGGACCCATCCGCGTGAATTGGGTACTCTCAAGAAATCAGAAACGTCGAGAATCTGATGGACAAAGCTTACCTCTCGAATTTTGAGAATAGAAGCTGAAGATGGATATGTCTTTAGACGAGAGTATCAATGGTATTTTATTTGATTATATATGAATATGTGATGGCTCAGAGAAGCTACAAATTAAGACGCAACTATAGTTTTTATTTTACGAATGAAAACGAGGCTCACGTTTTGGCGGTGTAAAAATCCAGAATCTTATCTATTAATTAAACACACGATAATATTTGTGATTTTCAATTTATGTTACTTCACGTAACAATTACATTTACAGAGCTGACTAAATGTTGATATATGACATTCAAAATGTCAATTGTTACTGAAGTACTAACATCAGCTGGTAATAGTTTTTTTTCATCTGTCTGTCCACTTCACTCAGCAGGCATGTTGTCACTGTCAGACAGCTGGGATACATAGAGACTAGGGGAACATGTTTTAAAGGGGCTAAATCGCTAATATATGGGACCTAGAAATTGACACAAATGGATCGTAAAGCATATAAAAATGTAATGCAGGGCCGGCGGAAGCAATTCTTGATTGGGGGGGCTTCCATCCTAGCCCTAGGTCCTTATCTTAGGCGTGGGTCCAGGGGTAGCAATAACCTGGAGAAAAGAGTACTTGCGGCCAAATTATTGGGGGGGGGGGGCTAAAGCCCCCCCTAGCCCTCCCACTCCGACGGGCCTGTATATGTGAATGTATATAAACTGATTTACATTCAATGTTTTCACTCTGATTTCACATCAATTAAGTTCGGCGAAATATGCCAGAAGTTTCAATCGAATGGCCATCTCTAGCATCTGGTTATTCCAGTCTACACCGATAGTATTTATTGCGCATGCTCTCCAGATAAGAATATGAGGTCACCGTTGACTTGTGGAATATGTCTGGCCATGTTAGTTCGAGTCCCTTGTTACAAATGGCACTAAAACGCATTATGGTACACGATTCGTGTACCGATGGTAAAATGTTTATTTTGCCTTAAATATTGGATATCAGAAGCCCATCTTTTCCCCGTAAGATCACAACATCAATGTTGATTTAAATTGTCAAATAATTTGTGTTTTCAATGTCGAAGACTTCTATGGATGATATTGACTTAGCTACTTTAATATTTAGTTATAATGTTTTGATTACATCTTAATCTGGTTACAAAGTTAATTATCATACCCCTACCCTCCACCCAATCATCATAATTAAAGGATATAAAGCTCTAAATCAATAATACTATCCAGAGTCTACGTCATAAACACGAAATATTGGCCCATAAATTTACTACCAGACAAGTTGCGTGAATATATAATATGGGCTCGATATATACTATATTTTAAGGAGCTAAATTGCTAGGTTTTAGGACCTAGCAATTGACACAAATTGGTCACAACGCATATAATAATGTAGTATGAATGTAAATAAACTGATTTATATTCAGTCGTTTCCGTTTTAAAATCAGTTATGTTCGGCGAAGTACACCAGAAATCTCAATCAAATGTCAATCTCTAGCGTCTGGTTATTCCAGTCTACACCGCTAGTATTTATTGCACATGCTCTCCAGATAAGAATATGGCATCAACGTTTGACATGACTTGTGGAATACTTGTCTAGCCTCGCACTTTGAGTCCATTGTTACAAATGGCACTAAAACACATCGTGGTACACAATTCATGTACCAATGGTAAAATGTTTATTTTGTCTTAAATATTGGATATTACACGCCAATCTATTCCAAGTAAGATTACAACATCAATGTTGATTTAAATTGACAAATAAATTGTGTTCTAATATCGTAGACTTTGGATGATATTGAGTTAGTGAACAATGTTTAAACCAATACACACAGACATTTTGATTTACCCTATGCTATTGAGCAACATTTGTAACTAGGCCCCTATTTTGACGAAAAAATTGATTAGAAAGTACAATAAGAGTTTTAAAAAATGGATGTAAATCAGTTTATACACTCCTATTCCATTAATATGTACTTTTTGGCCCATTTGTGCCCATTTTAGGTTACAAAGAATGAAAGAATAGAGATAAAGCTCCTTTAAAACTTCCCCAAAACAATATACAGGTTGTCTATACACCACCTCTAGATCTGTAATCTTTAGTGACCACATATTTTTCCATGTGTGCCAATTTTGGCATCAAATTTGTCAAATCTGCTTGTGGGAAATTAGAATAATGGAATATACAGTACCGTAACAGTATTCGATAACCATTTCTAAACCTGTATAGAATAGTGGGGGTCACGCTGGCTAAGTGGGTAAGACGCTGGCTTGCTAGCCTGGAGATCAGGTGTTTGATCCGTGCATTGACCGAGAAAGTTCATCCAGATTTTCCAGTGTTGTTCACACATGTCATTGATGCAAAAGTGAGGGCCTGACAAGGATAGCTGTCTAGTCGTTCGGATGGTATAGGGGAGTTATTCAAAGAGAATTGTTTTATTGCTAAACAGTAACACTGCCTTTTTTTTTTTAATTTATAGGATTGGTCGAAAAAAAAGAAGTAAATGGGAAAGTTAAAGCATTGACTGACCACATTAAGGAACTTCAGAATGAGATTTACACAGCAACTGTTGAAAGATATGTAGATTTTTACCCTTGTTTTAATTCTGTATCTAATCTTGCTGATCAAGTGGATTTAATCAAGAGTGAGATAGATTCAGTATCAGATAAGATAGAATCAGAGGTAAGTGTAAAAATCGGTCTTAAATGTCAACATTTTCACAAAATAAGGTATTTTTGAACAGATATATAAATGTAGCAGTAACACACATCTGTACATAAATACAACATAGATAAATGTAAATATCAAAGTGAGATGTAATGTTGCCTCACTGCAACCTAAAAAAAAACATTTTTCAATATTGATAAAATGGGGTTTAACATCCCACTGTCAAACAAAGTTAGCTGAAAAGACTAATACAATACTAATATCATATTATTTTATTTATTTATAGATAAAAGGTCAGCTAAATGTGTCTACATCAGAGTTCCAGTCACTGAGCCGAGAATTAATTGAAGTTAATGGTATTCTGTCCATTCTAGAAACTTTAGTACAGCTACATGATTATTTGGAAGAGGTTGCAGAGTCAACCAAGGCTCAGAAGTTTGGACATGCAGCCGATGCCCTAAGTAAAATAAATGAGCTTGTTTCTAAACCTCTACCATACCAAGATTCTGATATTAAAATATTTGATGCATTGATCACAGAAATCAAAGTGCAAAAAGAAAAGTTGATCTATGATCTGAATGACGTTTGGAAGGAGCATATTGCATGGAGATCACCTGAAAATGTTGCTTCATCAGGCGATCTGATTGAGCTGAAAATTGTCACAGGTGGAGAAGAAATGCAAGTAATCGAGCATATGATTGATGCATTGGAAAAAATTAATCAACTTGACTCCAAAATAAAGGTTTTCGGTGAACGTTTTTTAACCAGATTAGTTAAATCTCTTCTCTCTAATGAAGATGTAACTATTCAAGAAAAGACTAATCGAAATGAAAAAGTAATTACCTTAAATCTAAAAACTAATATTCATACAGCGCCTTTGTTTGTTAGTTTTTTTCGTAAATTTGAAGAATTAATAACCTTTTTAAACGAGAACTTTCTGAAGCTGAGTATAACGAGAAATGGTAATGTGGTTACATTATTAGAACTGTTAGGTGCTGAAGTTGCTAATTCTGCTGTGGATATGATAATTAAAGAATGTTTATCTCTGGCTATTCCTTCTACCATTGAGCATTTAGAAGGATTCCGTAAAGTTATCAATTCCACAGAAAATTTCCAGAAATTCCTGATGGACATTAAGTTCCTTCCAGAATCTAACACTGCTCTATTAGCTTATGTTCAAAATGTAAATGTTTTGTATGCTAATAAGAAATGTCAGCAGATCTCTGGAAATGCTCGTAAATTGATGACGTCCAATGTCCATAATACTGTAGATGTTTCGAAAGATGTAACTTTGCAGGCCTTACCTCAACTACAGAAAGGTGATTCTACTACAACACAAGCGATAGAATTAACAACAGAAGAAAAACTCAGTCCCGATTCTTTTAAAATGCCAGATTGTAAAATAAGGTAAAAGAAAATTTTATCCTAGTTTTAGAGTTTTATCAGGTGAAGAATTTTGAAGTGTAAAGCAATGTTTGTTGATGTAATAGTATCTGTTGTCATTTTTATCAGTTATTTACTAATTTAGCAATATGATTCAACAGTTTTAGAGCTGTCCTAATTGTACACTGTGCAGGCGTTACCTCTTAATTGTAGTTGGGTAATAATTATCTGTATGGAATACCTTTGAATAACATCTACTTCTGTAATAAAGTTGAATATGTATCATTCAAGCTCAGTGACGAATATATTTCACACCAGTTTGTAAACTTTAATGCTATCTTCATAAATCCTGTATTTTCAGTGAGTCGATTAATGCTATAATGAACTTGGCTTATGAAATATTAAATGAAGCTGTAGCCAGTAAACCACAGTGTGCTATACAGATGTTTTATGCGGTTAGAAATATATTTGAGTTATATTGTAGTGTGTTTCCCACGTATCATAGACAGTCTCTTGAAACATTACCTCAACTTACAGGTAAATATATTTCATAATAAACAACAGTATTACAAATGTGGTCAAGTCTGGTGACAAGAGAACATTGGGTCATAAAGAAGATTTATATATAATTCCTATATAATACTATTATAATAATAAATACCCTGGTTGTACGTGACAGGGAGTACATGTAGGTTTGCTTGTCCAACCTCTTGGATTTTCTCCGGGACCTCTGGTTTCCTCCCACTGCTAAAGACCCTTACGAGCAAGCAAATTATTGAAATAAAATTGAACCATATGTTAGTCCCGAAATGAAATGAAATGGGGTGTAATGTCCTACTGTTTTGCTCCAAACTGGGCTAAAGAAGATGGGCATACGCCATACAGTGTGCTAAATTTCGCCCGGACAGTGGCAATATGGCCTACTCTTATATGGAACTGTCAAGGGATCTTTTACGTGCACGCCATTGTGTACACAGAACCTCGGTTATTCGTCCCATCTGAACGACTAGACAGCTGTCCTTGTCAGGCCCTCCATCCTGCATCACTGACAAGGGCCAATGCAAGGATCGAACGCGACCTCCAGGCTAGCAAGCCAGCGTCTTGCCCACTTAGCCACCTTGACCCCCCAATCCCGATATGACCTAGTTTGTGTTGAGTGGATGTTAAACCCCATTTCTCTCTCCCTATAATAGTAAATAGACAGTACCATATCATGGAAAATCATTATCAGTTTGTTACAGACAACCAGTACATGTATAATATATTATAAATATAAACTAAATAAATCCAATTCTAAGTTTTAATTAAAAACACATTACCGTAATCACTATCTATAGTGACCAATGAATCTAATGATAATAAATTATCTGTCTTGCACATAACCTATGCTTGATAAAAGTTCTGTTGCCCTTTGTCACATTTGTCTAAAACTGTGCTGATAAAATGTGAGTTGCACATTTAACTGCATTCTGTATTCTAATAGAATTCAAAATTTTTCAAAAGTATTTCAGTCTCACTTTATTAATATATTTGTTTTGATCTTTAACACATACATAAAACTTGGTGATTGTTCATAACGTCAAAATTTTTCAAAAAGTATTTCAGTCACACTTTGTTAATATATTTGCTTTGATCTTTAACACATGTAAAACTTGGATGATTGTTCATAAGGTCATAATAAAGATTTATCTTTTGTAAAATTTTAGGGTACTTTTAATCTTGTCTTATCTATTTTTCTTCAGCCTTACATCACAACAACTGTATGTTTATCAGCCATCATTTGATGACTTTGGGCCACCAATTTAGTGCAAAACTGCCAAAATCAATCAACGCAACATTTGTTGATCTAATACCTAAAATCCGTGGAATGGGGACAGAGAGTTTCATGAAACAGATGACAAATCAGAGAGATCAACTTTTAGAATTTCTACAAGCAGCTGATGGTAATACTATTGTAGAATTTAATTAGAAATAGAAATGAGCTTACATGTATTAAGGAGATAAACTGCTGTGAATTAGGATTAGTGCTAAATGATAAGGCCAACTCATCAATTTTTCGTCATAGGTCACGAGATGTAAACAGGGCTAGCACTAATCCCAACCCTAACCCGGGACCTAGCCGCAATGCTTACCCTAACCCTAACCTATAATATCTCCAACAATCACATGCCCTAACCTTATTTACATCTCGGCGACATTGACAAAAATTAAGCTGGTCTTAAATAGATTTAGCCTTTGATTTAGGCCACAATAAAGTATTGAAGTAGGTTGATAAGGTGTGTTATTAAAAGGGAAATTAGTAGTACTTAGTAGTTTCAAGATGACATGAAATAATATATAATGAATATTACAGGTTTTATAGAGATGTCTAATCCAGAGAAATACTGTAATGGTGAACGAGCTGTAAAACAATGTCTACATCAGTTAACACATTTACAGAATGTTTGGCATGATGTTTTACCGGCAAATGTCTATAGAAAAGCCATAGGTAATATCACCAAATCTTCAAAAAATTTACATTATAAGTATTTATGTTCTGGATATTTTGGAACTAGGCCAAAGTATTGAAAACAGAAAATGGAATGATTGAAAAGCCAAGAAAGTAACCTATATGATAAAAAACAAAACAAACAGAATCTGCTCTGTTCATATATTTTGTCTAATCTCAAACTGAATGAATAGAGGCTGTGTACTGCCTTGAACTGGTGGTTTTAAGTTGGATGTAAATATATATTAAGTGTTTGGACTAAGAATTGCTACTCATCTTGTTGTGTGTGTGTGTGTGTGGAAATGAAATGAAATGGGGTTTAACGTCCTACTCTTCTGCACCTAACCTGGGCTAATTGAAGACGGGCATACACCATACAGTGTGCTATGAGGGAAATTTTGCCCGGGCAGCGGCGCTACGGCCTCCTCTTATATCGAATTCCAACTGCCAAGGGATCTTTTACGTGCACGCCAATGTGTACACGGGACCTCGTTTTTTCGTCCCATCCGAACGACTAGGCAGCTGTCCTTGTCAGGCCATCCGTTCTGCATCACTGACAAGGGGAAACCACGCCGGAAAATCGCGATGAACTTTCTCGGCCATGTGTGTGTGTGGAGGGAAGGGAGCTCTTTGAATAAGTGTATGGTTTGTTCCTTTGTCAATTGTGCATCGACTGATGGATGTCGTCACAATTCCAAGTCCATGGTATACCTGTACTTGTTGATAAGATTAACATTGTATGATAAATAGTTTTATAGTAAAATATAAATTGCGTGCAGAATAACTGTAATCAACAAAGAGTACCTGCCTTCAACTATGTGGTGTTGAATATACTGCACATAACCTAAAACTATTGCTCTTTTAAAACTCTTTATGTATTTAGACCAAATTAGGTACATAAGTATCTTGAGAGACTGTTGATGTGCTGGATTTAGAACCAGTCTTTATACAGTGTTTACAGAGCTATCATGGCTGATTAACATGGAGGTCTGGGGATCAATCGCTATGTGGGCTGAGAAAGTACCCCTGGATTTTCATTGTGGTTTCTCCTTGTCAGTGGTGCAGGATTGAGAGCCTGTAAAGGAATAGAGTCTAGTAGTTCTAACAGGACGAATAACAAATGTCTGGAGGACATGGTGGACTGCACATAAAAAGAACCCTTGACAGTTGGAATTCAAGTGTTGTCCAGGCAAAATCAAAGCACATGTAGCATATGGCCATCCCATTAGCATGGTTGGTGAAGAAAACCAGAACGGTAAACTTCATTTATATGCTGTTTAGTAAAAATGAGTTTTAATAATACTGTTTCAGGAATGTTGGTGAATACAGTAGCTGTAGAAATAATTGATAATATCACATCGCTTGAAGATATTTCATCTGTTGATGCTAAACAACTTTACAAGTTGATGTCTTTGCTGATAGATAAAGCTGAATCTTTCTTTAAACTGGAGTCTGATGATAGCAATCCGTTGGTAGAACTTCAACGAAACGTTGCCAAATGGCCAAAATTTAAAGAGTTACATTTGGTACTGAATGCTAGCTTACAAGGGATCTCTGATAGGTGGGCAGATGGAAAAGGTCCACTAGCCGAAGTCTTCTCAGCCAATGAACTCAAGCAGTTGATCAGAGCTTTATTTCAAAATACAGATCGCCGTGCAGGTGTCTTGTCTAGAATAAAGTAGATTTTATTATATTATTCCTGGGTGTCTTTAACAAGTAAAATATCCATTTAGCATATTTTTATCCAGTAAATTCAAGGATAAACAGTATGTGGTAGGTGTTTCTGTCAATCACAAACAGTCTAAATTTTCTGCAAGCAAATCAACATACTACTTGAATGTATTATTGTGAGGTCATTATTAAAGTAGCTAAGTCTCTAACTCAATATCATCCAAAGTTTTACACATTGAAAACACGAACTATTTGTCAATTTAAATCAACATTGATGTTGTGATTTTACTGGGAAAAGGTAGGCTTCTGATATCCAATATTAAAGACAAAATAAACATTTTACCATTGGTACACGAATCGTGTACCATAGTGCGTTTTAGCGTCATTTGTAACAAGTTACCAGGAAGAATGAGGCTAGACATATTCCACAACTCATGTTGAGACTGATGCCGTATTTCGCTGGACATAACTGATTTAAAATTAGAGTCAAAACGGAAACAATAGAATGTAAATCAGTTTATATACAATCAGATTACATTATTATTAGCGTTGCTACCCATTTGGGTCAATTTCTAGGTCCGAAATATTAGCAATTTAGCTCCTTTACAAATTGTATGCATTGTGATCACAAACACACATTACATGAGTAGGCAACAGTTTTGTTATTTATGACGTAAGATATTTATATACTGCTTATAAGATAATATGGTATAATATTATGTTGATTGTGAGATTACCCAGGATGTTTTCAAGTTATATTCAGTTGTTATGCTTATTCTTTGGTGCTGTGAAATTTTAATTCTTTCCAACATGTTTATTATTTAAATATATAGCTATATTTAAAATAAAAATTATAAAACTAGCAGTCTTCTCTTTATATGCCCAGAGTTAATGGCAACATATATTGTTGTTGACCTGTCTGTCCACAATTTCTTTTAAAAACTCTACATGTCAGAGTTCTTGACAAACCTTTTTTTTCAAATTTATCATGATTGTTTATTCTTTCATACGGGGAGGCACTACCTGAGAATATGAATTTTTAAATGACTTCCTGAGTCCCTCTAATACTGCCATCAACATGAAATTCCTGAAAATTTCATTTTGGTTTCACTTTTTAAGATTTTATCAGTGCTTGATAAAGACCAGAGAAACCTAGTCAAAACGTCACTAAGTAATAAGCAGTAATTGTAACTGTATTCTATAGAATTGTGACCAGTGTATTTCATATTGTCGTGTAGTGCCTCCTCAGAAGAGCCCTATTCCAGCTATTTTCAGCAAAGTCAGGAATGCATATTTTAGTGAAATTATGAAATCCCTATATACATTGCTGACTTTAAAGTAGCTAAGTCTCTTAACTCAATATCATCCAAAGTCTTCGACATTGAAAACATGAACTTATTTGTCAATTTCAATCAACATTGATATTGTGATCTTACCGGGAAAAGATAGGCCTCTGATATCCAATATTTCAGCGCCATTTGTAACAAGGGACTCGAAGAATGAGGCTAGACATAATTCCACAAGTCATGTCAAACAGTGATGCCATATTCTTATCTGGAGGGCATACGCAATAAATATTATCGGAGTAGACTGGAATAACCAGACGTTAGAGAATGCCATTCGATCTAGACTTTTTGCTTATTTCACCGAACATAACTGATTAAAAGTTACAGAAAAAACAGAAACGATTGAATGTCAGTTTATATACATTCATATTACATTACGACCCATTTGTGTCAATCTCTAGGTCCCAAATATTAGCGATTTAGCTCCTTTAATATAGTTGAAGTATTGGCGGGGTTTTATTAATTATTATTTTGTAAATTAAAGGGAGGTAAATGGATTGTGGTAGTAATTATGTCCCTTTGAAAATCCGCCGGTGTGAAGGTGTGAAGCGTTGTATGTCGGTATTATTGATTGTTTACATTTCTGATGATATTCATAGATTCATTCACAGGATTAACACTTTCGAGATCTTCTAAAACAGTATTGTGAGTAAATTTTATCGTGTGTTAAATAAAATTTCATTATATAGTCCGGACAATCAGTCATGAATGAATGATAGTGCCTTCTTTAAAGAAATAGGTTACAGTACCTAATGGTACCGGTATGTTACCTGTACGGTACGTAAAAAAGTATGACATCAAAAATAGTAGGCCTATTTATATTGCAGGCAAACACCACATCATAACTCAACAAGAATATTGTCACTTGTTTTTGTCTAATAAATGAATAAGTCATTATTATGTGACATCAGATTGAGATTCAGAAAGCAGAAATTTTGTTAATTTTGGCTTTGATTATGATATGGTAGGCTACCGCCCGGTACTTTAAAATTTAAGACAAGTTTATCAAAAAATATAGGACCATATGACCAGTAGTAATATAATGAACCGACTGATAGACGGGTGACCAGTAGTAATACAGTATCTATAAATAAACAATGTAAGCTTATCTCAGCAGGTGGTCATTCAGATAAGCTTATTTAATCTTCTATCCAACTGTTTAAAGTCATTAAAGACCTATGTAGCAATCCTTTAATACCTTGCTACTGCGTGCAGTTGGCTACTTTACTAAAATACCGGTGAACTGAACATATATTAATTAAATTTTTTTTAAGAGAAGTTCAGTTGATGGGTGATTCAGCTATTTAATAGTTATGCATTGACTTTAGACTAGACTGCTGCTCAAGTCAATATCCCATACTGCAGGTAGGTTTTTTACCTCTATAATGCAATATTATCCAGTTTAACCAGGGTTGTGTGTGTGGGTGGGGGGGGGGGGAATGGTTAGCACATGCGCGCTGTATCATAAGGTCTGTCATTAAGTCAACTAGCGTGGTTTCGATTCCCCAGTTGTACGCGACAATGAGTAGGGTCGTCTGTCTAACCTCGTGGGCTTTCTCTTGGTCCTCTTGATTCTTCCCACTGCTAAAGACCCCGGGGTGCAAGCGAATTATTGAAATAAAATTGAACCATGTGTTAGTCCCAAAATGACCTAGTTTGTGTCGAGTGGACGTTAAACCCCATTTTTCCCTCCCTCTCTCTCTCTCTCTCTGTTAACCAGGGGGGAAGGGGGGAGGCCTACCTCATTAACCAGTAAAATGAATAGTCATTATTATTAGATAAGTAAAGGTTAATTCAAGTTTATTATAAAGAAAATGCACCCTAAAACCCATTGAAATCAAAATTTCTCCTATGGTTAAACTTCCCCTTCCTAGTCCCCTAATCCCTGACCATGCTTCAGACTACCAAAATGATCTACATATTAAAAGTAGGATGAAAGATTCCACAGATGCATTTTTTTTTTTACAGAATGCATGCAAATTAGAAAATCACTATATAACTTTAAATCCAATGAAAAAGGTTTTGGTGATGACCTCTCCCTTGCCATATTCTTTAGGCAATACATTATCTCAACATTGTTTATTGTCTTATATCACTGTTTGTCCCCGCCTTTCGAAGAAAACAGGGGACTATTAAAATGGGTTCGTCTGTCTGTCTTTCCGTCCGTCTGTCCGTCACACTTTTTGGGACACAATAACTCTCTTTCTAATTGAGCTAGAATGTTCAAACTTAGTTTAGGTGTTTATTGGGTCAATGCCTTGATGGAGTTCGAAGATGAGCATTTTCTGCTTAGGGTAAGCAGAGATGAGCAATTTGATTGGTTGATGCTTTGGGACAGGATAACTAATTAAGTGAGAGTGATGAAACTTGGTGTATAGTTTCATTACATCAATACCTTGACTAACTAAGTTCGATAATGAGCATTTTCTGCTTAGGGTAAAAGCAGGGCAATAAGCAATTTGATTGGTCGAGACTTTGGAACACAATAACTCTCCTTCTAATTGAGGTAGAGTGATGAAACTTGGTGTATAAGTTTCATTACATCAATACCTTGACTAAGTTCGATAATGAGCATTTTCTGCTTAGGATAGGCAGGGCAATAAGCAATTTGATTGGTCGAGACTTTGGAACACAAAAACTCTCCTTCTAATTGAGGTAGAATGTTCAAACTTGGTGTAGGCGTTCAATAGGTGAATGTCTTTACTGAGTTCAATGATTAACATTTTGAGCTGAAGCTAAGCAGAGCTAATAAATTTCATTGGTCGATGCTTTGGGACAAGATAATCTTGATTCTATCTGAGAGAGACTAATGAAACTTAGTGTATAGTTTTATTGCTCGATACTTTTGGAAAAAATATATGTGCGATTAATTAATATGTGTCATCTATTTATTTTGGAACTTCGGTGGGGGACATCAGCCTCACTGTTGGCTTGTTTTTCTTCAGATCTGTTGGTACTGTATTGTACAGTATATGCATTTTATATAGAAAACCATTAATTGGATTAGAGATTGCTTTCAATATGGCAAGTACAAGACTTTGAAATTGGATCAGCTGTTATAAAACCATCTGTTTTTATTCAACAAAAAGAAATTTGATTTATATGAAATGAAAATATTGGCCTCTAATTAGAATTAATAACTTGGCAAAGTTTCCTACCATGGAATCGGATTTGCAAAATCATAACAATTTTTCTGTCCACTCCAGGATATGAAAACTAGAAATTCTAGGTGTCAGTCCAAAGAATTGTTTGGAATTTTCATAAAGAATTCAAATTATGGTTTGGAGAAAGGTTTTTGTTTTTTTTTCTTTTCTTTGATTTAAATTAATTTTAGATTCTCTAAAGTAGAACCAAATGATGATAAATTATATAATCGGTTATATAAAACATACATTATGCAAGAGCTAAATCTGTCTATTGCAGGTCTTTCTTTAGGCCTGGGGGGATCGGATGGCTGAATGGTTAGCGTGCGCGCGGTGTATCATAAAGCCTGTCATTGAGTCGACTGGCATGGTTTTGAATCCCCGGTTGTACGTGGCAAGGAGTAGGGTCGCCTGTCCAACCTTGTGAGTTTTTTCCGGGGCCTCCGGTTTCCTCCCACTGCTAAAGACCCCTACGCGCAAGCGAATTATGTAAATAAAATTAAACCATATGTTAGTCCCGAAATGACCTAGTTTGTGTCGAGTGGACGTTAAACCCCATTTCTCTCTCTCTCTCTCTCTCTCTCTTTCTTTAGGCCTGAAATGTTATATAAACTATTAATTAGACATTAATTAACGTATCCAGACCATAATCAACTCTTTGATGTCAACGCTAGCCTGCGGTAATTGTTGGATTATGATCCGATTTGCTGCTTAACTTTCCTTCTCGATTTAACGATTAAATGGATAATCAAGACTATGATTTTTGTCGTACCGACTTTAGTAATGATGACCGGAACTATGCGGAACTTTTGATCGCTTATTTCTTGGTTCATAGTGGATTAATTTGACTGACATTTTCATCAAATTGCCTTTACATTATCTAGTTTTTAACTATTATAGTGAGAACTGCCAACTCATTATATAATCTCCCATAATGTATCTTTAAATGATCGAAAAAAATTTGATTTTATAGACATCCCTATTCTTATAACTGTATGTTATACAAGTAGTATTTAACAATAGGCAATGAAGACCTCTTGTAATTTGGAAGCAAAAAAATAATTCTGTATTTTTGTTTCTGGTCTAATGAAATAAAAGAGTTCTAAATTTAATTTTTCAGAGCAAGAAACTGGATTATTCAAGTGCTGATTTTATTGAATCAACTCCAAACTGGCTCAGTAAAGCTAACAAGAACAGTAAGGTAAGAAACAATGTGATGAACCAACAGTCTAATGAATTCATTCAATTCTTGCTCATCCATAATAAATACCAATTCAATGGAATACTTTTTATGCTCCCACATATGAACATGGATGTATATTGTCATGCAGTCCATCTGCCAGTGCATCCAAAATGTTTTTTCAATACTTTGAAGGCCATAAATATTGGATATTACGAAATTTTGATAAATTTTTTTGGGGTGTGTAAATGACAAACGTATATCAATTTGACGATTTCTGAAGATAACTCTCATTGTTATATCCCTCGCCAAGAAACATTGTGGAATCTGTGTTCAGTTGTTTTACAGAAATTGTGATATATTTTAATCAAAGACAACACAGCTAAGCTCTCTGCTGGGTGTTAAGTCTTTGTTTCCTGACAACCCGTGTTAATGTTTTTGTAGAGTCATCTTTCATTTTTCAGTTTGATGATTTATTGAGAAATGGCTGGGATAAAGCCATGGAAGAAGGAGTGTTTAGATACACCATGGGTCACCTTGAAACAAAAATATTAGATGGACCCAAGCAATATGTAGCTCAGGTATTGTATACAAATTACCACAGATTTGTTTTAATAAAGTATAGTCTCCATTAGCCCTTTTTGGTGCAGAAAAGTAGGATGTTAACCCCATTTCATTAATTCATTAATTCTAATGAAGTGGTCATCAAAAGCTGTTGAAAAGTCAAATGTAGGCATTTAGTAGGACTCAGAAAAGTGCTAATTTAAATGGCAGGTGTATGACAAGTCCAGGACTGTACAGTGCAGTGGACTCTTACGGCTAGCCCCCCAGATCCATTCACTTAATTTGATATGTTTGTTTGTTTGTGATTTCTGCGTATTTGGTCTTGCCCATAGATTTGTTTTTGTGTAAATTATGTGTGCTGCATTTATTATGTTAATTAATTGAATGTCAAGAGTTATTTTATAGTTTATACTGATAGTGTATTTTTTTTTATTAATTTGTTGAATGTCAAGAGTTACGTTCTAGTTAATACTGATAGTGTATTTAATTTTTAATTAGTTGAATGTGAAGAGAGCAACAGACAGACGACAACCACAGAATATTACTAGTCTTAATCAGCCCTTTAATCCAGATACATTTAATTTTACCAAAATTAAAGAGACAGAAATATTGTTAACTATAAATAATACAGATGATGAAAAATCAAGTAATAATAAAGAAATTAAAAATTGTCTGACTCCTGTTCAGGTATGTATCTTTGCTTGGTATTGCGGGTAGCACATATAACAAATGAGATATGGGCAAGAATTTGTTTTAAGGAATCATTATATGTCCCATATTTTTTAATGCAACAGTTTACAAAGAGATCAGATTAGTAAATAAAAGTATTTTCTAGATTCTTTCAACTAAATTGTCCAAAAAACACCTGAAAACAGTTGTGAGCAGTTAATAATTATTAAAAGTTTGGATGTGTGACTTAATGAACGACTATATTTTTTCAGGATAGAAATTTGATAATAGTGAATATCAGTCCTCTAGAGTATGGTCATGTACTTGTAGTACCTCAAGTTGATTCTTGTTTACCACAGGTAACCATAGAAACACATATAATTTACACATAATTAGCATATAACTTACATATGATTTACATGTAAGTCGCTCAGATGGGAATAAAAACAATGTCTCGTGTAGAAATTGGTGGTACGCATAAAAGATCCCATGACACTTTGAATTGGAAGACGAATAGACGTAACGCCTCAGTGCAGGCAAAAATTATCCACCTTGCATTGCTCACGTAAACATAGAAAACTACTGTACATATGTTGTTAGTGTCAAAATGACTTAAAATGTTGATGAAAGGTTAAATTTTATTTCTTTGGTTTTTATATTTAAGATATTGACAAGGAAGGCTTTGCAAGTCGCTTTAGAAACAGTTTTACTTAGTGCTAGAAGGTTAGTAATTGTAATACATTATTGTTCTTGGCTTTTCAATACTCTCTCAGATTTTTCTGCTCAGGCTAAGTTGCAATAAGCGATTTGATTGGTCAAGACTTTATAACACAGTAACACAGCCTTTAAAGTCTCATTGTGTTATTTTAGCGCAATATGAATTCCTTGCAATGTACAATAATGTGAAAGATGACCCTCTAATAGGAATATCGGTTCAAAACTGGTTCAGTTCTGTTCAGTATTTACAAAGATATTTTAAATTGAAATTTCATCGATCTGTGCTCCTTGCTATGTAATAAGCCCTCCACCATGGAGACAAACAGAATTGATAAGCCTATTTTAAAACAAACTGAATCCAAGCCGAGAGGTTATCTAGCGTTGGTATTTTGGTTTTGTTTTCTTAATTAAATGTTTAATAATCAATCTGAGTACATATCAAGCATTGAGAAATTTGAATTTTTAGCGAAAAATGCAAATGACTTATCGTTACTTTAATTGAGTTAAAACTAGAATGTTCCAACTTAGTGTGGATGTTCATTAGGTGAATGTCTTGATTGAGTTTGTTGACTAACATTTTGCGCTAAATAAGCAATTTCATTGGCGTATAGTTTTTTTTACTACATCGAAACCTTGACTAAGTGCCATAATTATGAATGCTTTGGCTGAGGATAAATAAGCAGATTGATTGCTTGATGATTTTCAAAAAGATAAATGTCCAATTATTATTATTTGTCGTCTATTTATTTTAGGATTGTGGCGGTTGACATTAGCCTCAGTGTTGGCTTGTTCCCTCAATATACTAATGTGATATTTATTTTATGTATTGTAGGAGTTTTAGGTTGGGTTTTAACAGTTTATGTGCTTATGCATCAGTGAATCATCAACATTTTCATGCTTATTATCTAGAACATGAATTAGTAGTGGAATATGGCGTAAGTAGAATCTTAGTTTGAAAAGAAACTATAATATAAACTAAGAAATGTCTGTTTAAAGGAGCTAAATCGCTAATATTTGGGACCAGGATATTGATACAATCGGGTCGCAATGTAATATGAATGTAAATAAACTGATTTACATTCAATCGTTTCCGATTTTACTCTAATTTCAAAGCAGTTATGTTCGACGAAATACGCCAGAAGTCTCAATCAAATGGCAATCTCTAACATCTGGTTATTCCAGTCTACACCGATAGTATATATTCTGCATTCTCTCCAGATAAGAATATGGGGTCACTGTTTGACATGACTTGTGGAATATGTCTAACCTTGTTCTTCGAGTCGTTTGTTACAAAGTGCACTGAAACGCATTATGGTACACGATTCGTATACCAATTGTAAAATGTTTATTTTGTCTTAAATATTGGATATCAGAAGCCCATCTTTTCCCGGTAAGATCACAACACCAATGTTGATTAAATTGACAACTAATTTGTGTTTTCAATGTCGAAGGTTTGGGATGATATTGAGTTAGAGACTTAGCTACTTTAAACTTAAAGAGGTTTTTGACGTCTTGGTCAGTTGGTAAAGAAATGCACATGATATAGCTATACATCATGAAATTCAAATTTTTAATGAACACTGATTCAAGATTCCTAACTCCAAGTTTATCAATGTTTGGATTTTCGTTCATTGGTCAAATGTTATTTTGAATATTATTCTAAATTAATTATATTCATTTTTATGATGAAAGTGATAAAACCTCTTTATGTCAAGATATAGGATTTTCTTTAACACATTGTAATTTTAGAGATTTCATTGTCATGATCCCTTGCAAACTATAATATTGTGAAAGTTGAATTTCTAAAAGGAATATATCTGTCTAAAAATGGATCAATTCTGATTAGTAATTTAAATGATATAATGAATTGAAAATTTTATTTTCTTAATTAAATGTTAATTACAAACTTGAGTACATCTATCATGGATTAAGATGTTACTGGAAAAATACAACTGCCAATCAGTAATTTGAATGTGGTGGATTATTCCTGTAAACCTCATGTTATTAATTGTATGCTCTAATTATCACATGTTTATATAACTCCTGTTGTAAAGCTTTGCACTGCAGGCTAGCTTGTCATATTATCTGACTAATTTAAAACAAACATTGTATGTAAATATCACTTCCTGATTCAAAGTATGGATCATGCTGTGTGTGTGTGTGTGTGTGTTGATAAATCATTAATAAACCTGTTTAGTTTGTTTGTCTTGGGATTGTATATTTACTTTATTTCTAAATTAGCTATGTATTTATTATCCTAAATTTAGATGTAATTGATGTTATGTTTTTATTCTACAGCCAGTTCAACATATAACCGGTGTTTTATATCAGTCAGATGTGATGCCAGTACCTGGTTTTGTCTTTCAAACACATGAAAATTCAGTATCGACACTTACTAGGTACACATCTCCTTTCTCTTATGATCTCATAATTTTTGATGGGTACAGATGTCTATACCTCTCCCTAGTCCCTTCTCTTATAATCTTATGATTATTGATGAGTAAGGATGTCTATACATCTCCTTATAATCTTATGACTATTGATCGGTAAGGATGTCTATACATTCCCTTCTCTTATAATCGTAGGATTATTGATCGGTAAGGATGTCTATACATATCCTTTCTCTTATAATCTTATGATTATTGATGTGTAAGGATGTCTATACATCTCCCTTCTCTTATAATCTTATGACCATTGATGGGTAAGGATGTCTATATACATCTCAAGGATGCCTAAAAGGTACCAATATGACTGTGTGGAGTTCTTAATTTCTTCACACAAAAGAGCACTATGCTAATTACTATCGCATCTGAGCAGCGATTGGATTTTATTGTCCAGATCTGGTCAAAATCATTCAGTCAGGTTGATTTGTTGATTTGTAAAACTGACAGTAGACCCAAAAAAAGGTAGTCTAGCACATCATGGGAGGAGCTTCACTTGATTGACAGAATAGGTAACACACTAACTTTGTCGAACGGTTGTAAGAAGTTCCAATGAAGATTTGATTTCTACTGTCTAAGCAAAAAAAAAGACAAAAACTGATGAAGAAAAAGAAGGACCAACTAATATTATCAATAGGTTGAAGGCCAGTCTACAAACTGTTATTTTTTTTTAATTGAATAGTGATGAAAAGAATATAATAAGCCAGTCACCATCTATTGATTTTAAATAAACAATAATTAGATGCATTCGTATGAACGGTTCGTTCATTCATTAATAAATTGAGGAGACAGGGATTCCAGCCATTGACAGTAAATAAAAGAGAAGATATTAAATCTTAATTTCAATTTTTAATTCCAGAGTAATACATAAAATCACACAGTATTTTCAGAAAAATGAAATAGCTCATAGTGTATTATTAACAAGAGGGGCTGTATTTAATGAAGATAAAACCAGTGATAACAGAACGGTTAGAATATATGTCTGGCCCAGACAAAAATTTAAAGGTACTTAATATGTTCCATTCATATTGTTGTCCCCCGCCTTTCGAAGAAAGCAGGGGACTATTAAAATGGGTTCGTCCGTCTGTCTGTCTGTCCGTCTGTCTGTCCGTCTGTCTGTCTGTCCGTCCGTCTGTCTGTCCGTCACACTTTTTGGGACACAATAACTCTCTTCCTAATTGAGCTAGAATGTTCAAACTTGGTGTATGTGTTTATTAGGTCAATGCCTTGATGGAGTTCGAAGATGAGCATTTTCCGCTTAGGGTAAGCAGAGATAAGCAATTTGATTGGTTGATGCTTTGGGACACGATAACTCTCTTCCTAATTGGGCTAGAATGTTCAAACTTGGTGTATGTGTTGATTAGGTCAATGCCTTGATGGAGTTCGAAGATGAGCATTTTCCGCTTAGGGTAAGCAGAGATAAGCAATTTGATTGGTTGATGCTTTGGGACACGATAACTTTTAATTGAGCTAGAATGTTCAAACTTGGTGTATGTGTTTATTAGGTCAATGCCTTGATGGAGTTCGAAGATGAGCATTTTCCGCTTAGGGTAAGCAGAGATAAGCAATTTGATTGGTTGATACTTTGGGGCACGATAACTCTCTTCCTAATTGAGCTAGAATGTTCAAACTTGGTGTATGTGTTGATTAGGTCAATGCCTTGATGGAGTTCGAAGATGAGCATTTTCCGCTTAGGGTAAGCAGAGATAAGCAATTTGATTGGTTGATGCTTTGGGACACGATAACTTTAGTTCTAATTAAGTGAGATTGATGAAACTTGGTGTATAGATTTATTATATGAATACCTTAACTAAGTTCGATAATGAACATTTTTTGCTGAGGGTAAGCAGAGTGATAAGCAATTTGATTGGTAGAAACTTTGGAACACAATAACTCTCCTTCTAATTGAGGTAGAATGTTCAAACTTGGCATAGGTGTCTATTAGGTGAATGTTTAAACTTGATGTATATGTAGATGTTCATTAGGTGAATGTCTTGACTGAGTTCAATAATTAACATTTCGAGCTGAAGCTAAGCAGAGCTAATCGATTTCATTTGTCGATGGTTTGGGACAAGATAATCTTGATTCTATCTGATAGAGAGTGATGAAACTTAGTGAAAAAAATAAATGTGCGATTAATTAATATGTGTCATCTATTTATTTTGCAATTTCGGCGGGGGACATCAGCCTCACTGTTGGCTTGTTAATTTGTTTGACAATTTCACAGTAATTCATTAAAGATGCATTATGTAAGATTAAGATAAAAAGCTTGTTCTTGCTATCAAAGTTCAAAAATAAATAACGAAAAATAACTTGAAAATTTCAGTCAAATTACTTTATCCTGAGCAAGTGTTTGAAGCTTGGACAAGAAATAGCCTAGTCACGATTGTCAAGTACCATTGCCACGATAATAATAGACAAAGTCTTGATTATCCATTTTAACGTTAAATTATTAAATGGAGCGTATGTTCTAATCCATTTAATATCTCGGTCATCCGGTGATCTAGAGAGTTGATTCTGGGCTTATCATGTGAATATTTATCTAAACAATAATTTATATAATATTTAAAGCTAGTAAAAAGACCTGCAATAAGCAGATTTAGTTTTTACTTAATGCATCTTTAATCTATATAAGTCTTCTTAGATTCAAGAACGATATGTCACGCACATTGCTTGTGGATTCAGTCTGTTTTAAACCACAATGTTTGATTCAAGAATACTGATCGGATTTACATACATATAGGAATTTTAGGTATGTAAACTTTGCACTGCCATAGATGTCTTGAGAGTGAGGAGAATCATATCCAGTTGGTGGCATTTCAACCCAGAATTGCAGGTGTCAAAGGTTTCCTTACAGTGATTTCAAGATTGTTGCACACCTTCCCTATCAACCCAGCAGGCATTACTACTGAGGACTTCTGATCCCATTCAAACACATGAGTTTGGTACAACCGTTAAACTGTACTGAATCTCCGCCTGTCTGTTAATTTGATGAAATGAATTAAAATGACCCCATTTCTTTGAATTATGCTGTAATTGTTTGCTGCTAGTACTAACAATAAATACAACTTGTAATAGCACTAAATACACAGATTGTGGACATATTTTATAAAAAGTATTGTAGACAATATAGATACTCGACAACTTATAAAACACTTCTGGTTGTTTATTGATTAGAGTTTAAGTTAGTACAGAAACATGTTTACAGTATTTGAAAGCATGAACACAGTATTGACTAGCAGTAATCATTACAACATAATTTTTTTAAACTGCCACTCAATTTCACGATTGAGACCTTCATAATTTATTTATTTAAAGAGCGAGTATGCACAGGAGTTATTTGTGATTCAAATAATAGAAAAAGGTCACACCAATTTGATTTTCTGAACACCTGAAAATAATTTTCTTATCATTTCTTCTGAAAAAAAATTTTATTTAAAATCCAAAAGTACTTGATTGCATTGATCAAAAGCATTTAATTCCAAATTTTTAAACAAAACATCCTACAGGGCAACCAGATTCAGGGCAACTTTTATTCAGTGAATAATTGCTTCACACAGAACCAAAGTACTTGAGGTATTCCCAATGATTTCGTTTGGGCTGTGTTTGATAGAAATGATTGCTAATCCTCCATGTTCTTTCTAGACAAATTTTAAAACCAATGCTTGATGCTGTACCGTAGAGATATGACATTTATTTATTTATTTTTCTGGTCAAATTTCAAAACCAATACTTGATGCTGTCCCATGTGGAAATGATGTGTGATGTTGAACTTCCAAGACCCTAAACACAAGATATCTTGAATGTAAATAAAGGGATTGAGATCCAAATAGTTTTAACTATTACCATGAATATATTATATTACGCATGTGTTTACAAACATCTCAAGACAGAATACGAAGACAAATGAATAGATCTTATAATCTCTGTATTAGAAGCTGGAAAATGTCCTGCCTGTGTCTTGCCCATACTCGCACTTTAAATTATTGTATGTAAACTATGATTTGCTAATAGTATATTTGTTATAGGTTCTAAGTCCTTGGTTGAATTGCACGTTGCTGTGATTGAACTAGGGGGTCATTTACCTATAAAAGGTAGGTTGTCAGGAAGTCAGATTTATCTGCCCCTGTTTCAGGTTTCACTGGTGACTAGACAGGCCTTTATAAACATTTGACTATTATATTTACATACATTTGCTAAGACCACGTTTAGTTTTATAAAATGGTAGTGTGTAGCTTATAAAGGCCTAGTAGTCCCGGAAACTTTATTGTTTAAAATATTCGTATATATCTAGCTATATATACCGGTATACCTAGATGTGTATCTCATTTTTTGTATTTCTTCATATTTTCCATCAAAATATAACCCAATCCTTTCTTTATTTTGGAATATAGTTTGAATATTAGTAATTCTTTGTTGGGAAGAATAATTGTCGTTAAGTCATGATAATCAATTGCCTCAATGCAGGATTGGTGTAATAATTTTTGTGGAAGAAATGAAGAATATTCTATTTTATTTTGTTATATTCAAAATCATTTTCAAATTATTCTAATATATACATAGGCATGCCGCCTGAAGCATTTAATGTTGCTGTGGTAGAAATGGGGGGACATCTTCCCATTAAAGGTATGATTATTACACAAAACAGTGTCTAGTTGGTCTTCTTTTATACTTCTGATATATTATTTTACATTTTACACAGCTTTTGCTTGCACAGAGATTAATATTAACCATCTATCCTTTTTAGTTGAGTTGAATTCAGTGTAATCATATTCTACCTGCCCTAACATAGGATTACAGCTAAAAGTCTCTGATAAAATGTTAATTTTTAGTTGATGTATCAAATGTGTTATTTGAAATGTACTTATCAATATATTTTTCAAAATATGAAATGGAAGCTGGTTTGTTTACTAATTTTAGTTTCATTTTGAACTTAAATTTTCGACTAATGAACACATTTGTGCATCCAAACAATTTTAAATGTAAAATATAAATCAACAAATCGAGTTTAGTTAAATGAACACTTGTTTAAAACCTAAATCAAAGAGGTTGCATTCTTTTAAATCCAATAGTAGAATGTGTGTACTTCCAAGGTAAAATACAACCTATTTTGGTCAGATTAGACATTAATGTTATATTCTTTTTAAAAAAAAAACAGCCAATAAAATGTATTGTTCCAGTCTGTCTGCCTCTGGTGGTGGGTAGAACTTGTGGCATTGAGAATATGGTTGCAATGTATCATTTCCCTTTAATCATATTGTAATATCAGATAATAAATATGATATAATAATCTTCTCTAACAGCTGCAGCACTCCTTTAAGCCACTGATTGTCATTTGCGGGATTTTGAATCCTTTTCAAACTTAGGGGGGTTGGGTGGCCGGATGGTTAACGTGCGGAATGGATCATTAGGTCTGTCATTGAGTCAAATGGCGGGGTTTCGATGATTCCCCACGTGTACGTGACAAGGATTAAGGATCGACTCCTTTCCACAGCTAAAGAGCCCCAGGCGCAACCGAACCGTTCAAATAAAATTGAACCATATGTTAGTCCCAAAATGACCTAGTTTGTTTCAAGTGGATGTTAAATCCCATTTCTCTCTCCCTTTTCAAAATGCAATCTTGTGAAAGGAATATTTCTGTCCAAAAATAGTTCAAAACTTTCCAACATTAAGCATCATTGACAGACAACAAATGGATATCTGCAACTTTAAAGTACATGTATCTTTCTAAAATTAAACTTTAATTAATTAAATTAAAATAACTTGTATATTTAACAGATCTATTTCTAACTAAATTTTATTGTGGAAAACATTGTTATAAGCCCACATTTAATGTGGATGGATATTGTTTTCTAGCAGTCAGTTTCTTGTGACCACTTATAGAATTTTTCACTTGCAAAATGAGGTGTTATTCCCCACATTTATGTTCAAATTTTTACAGAACATTTTTTTTAAAGCTCAATGGAATTGTTAAACATACATTATGCAAGAGTTAAATCTGCATATTGCATGTCTTTCTTTAGGCCTGAAATGTTATCTAAATTATTAATTAGACATTAATTAACTTATCCAGACCAGACTTTTTTTTATTATTATTGTACTGACTTCAGTAATGATGATCGAGGCTAGGCCAAAAATTTAAATTGCTAAAATCTTGGTTCAGAGTGGAGCAATTTGACCGAAATTTTCAGCAAATTCCCTTTACATTATCTGTTTTTTAACTATTATAGTGAGGTATAATATATAATATATCTTTAATTGAGGTATAAAGAAGAGCCTTACCGATTTTCAAAATTGTGTGGGATTATCTTTTTGACTGTTAAAGCTGGGACAGAGGGCCTGACAAGGAACAGCATCTAGTCGTTTGGATGGGACAAAGAAACAAGTCCTGTGTGCACACTTGACAGTTGAAATTCAGTTGCTGTCCAGCCAAAATTTCCCTGTATGGCGTATGCCGGTCTTCATGCCGATTGTTGAACCCCATTTCATTCATTCCGTACAGCACAGCGTATTGGTGGGGGGGGGGGGCCTTTGGGGTTTTTTTTAAAGGAGAAAGCCAGCTGTTGTAGAAGCTTTATATTTTATTCATTATCAAATAAAAATTAATTCCCAGAACCAGAAATTTTCAGCTTTAAGCAACAATTTGTTCTTACACCACTTGTCTTAAACATATTTTTACACTGTGGTTCTAACAAGAGGCATTGGGTGGCTGAGCAGTCTAACATATTAGACCATAAGGTCTGGCATTGAGTCAAGTCGCTTGGTTTTGATACCGAGCTTGTATACAACAAGAAGACGGATTGCCTACCCAACCTGGTTTCATCCAACTGCTATAGATGTCTATTGAAATATTTAATAACCGAAATGACCTAGTATGTGTCAAATTGGCATTATAAACCCCATTTCTCTTTCTCTCTGTGGGGCTAACTTCATACTGAGTCTTACTTGCTGATAGCGATCTCTTCTTAAGGATAGGACATTTTTAATCATTATATTATTTCAATAATGGCAAACTATTTTGGTTATGAGTTATTAATTGAACATTTAAATATTGCATATTGAATTATAGATTGTTCATTTGGTCATAAGGAAGACCCCCTTATCAAAAGCTTCAAAATTAAGTGGCATGTGATACTCATGGAGTTAATGCTCAGTCCATACTCTAAACAATATTCGAACAAGTATGGATTATATATTCCAGTACATCAGAAATTAACATGCACTCTCTACATGCAAAAGATTAAAAGAGTTCATGGATTGGGAGTTATAGTACTTATTAATTGATAATCAATGTCAAAAGCATCATACTGAACTTCAAGGTCATGTGATGATTGATCATAAATTTATTGTCCTGGACTTTGAAACGGACTGCATGCTGTATGGGCTGAGATATAAAAAAAATCTGTCATTGTTTGTTGGATAATAAAGTAGTTTACAAGAATTTTAGGAAAATAGTAAAATCATGACTAAATTTAGAATATGCTCAAACTACCAGGAGTTAGTAATGTTAAATAAATAATTGTGTATTTTAATGTTTTTCATTTTAAATAGAGTAATTTTGTGTATGTTTCAAATGTCACATTTTTTATTTTGATTGTGTAATGTTTTATAATAGATTGTATATGTGTTTCAATGTCAAAGTATTTATCTTTCATAAATCATAGCTTAATTCTATGAGAATTAATTTTTTTTTTTCAATTACATGTATAAATTGATTCCAGGATCCTTTATTTTCCTTGTTATAACATAAATCATTTTATTTCTAGATGAGAATTCCTACAAGAATATGACCGAAAAAGAAGCTGATTCAATAATAGAAACAGCTAAACTACCAGAGGAAGAATTCCAGAAAATCAAATCAGATGTTACTAAAATAGTATTTGAGGATTCTGAAGATAAGAATGATAGTTGATAATGGTTTAAGTTAGAATATATATTCATATATTTATAGATAATGTGGAACGAAATCTTGGTGCAATGTCTTATTTTATGTTTTATACAGTATTTAACCTGGAAGGGACCAAATGCATATTGCATGATATAAATAATATTATATCAAACTGTTAATAATTCACTTAAAGATGCATCATGTAAGATTTAGATAAAGAGCTGACAGTTCCTACTGTAATAGTTTTAAAAAAGATAATGAAAAATGAATATATTGAAAATTTCATTTAAATTACTTTATTCTGGGCGAAATTCTAAGTTTTTTAAAGATGCAACATAGATTATTTATTATCATAGCATCGGTAGATGGCAACCAATACTAAGATTATCCAATTTATCGTTAAATTTTTAAAATCTTGTGTATGTTCAAATCCATTTAAATCTCAGCAATCTGATGTTTTAGAGAGTTGATTATTGGCATGTTATGTGATAAATGTCTAAATAATCATTTATATAAGATTTGAAACCATTCATTTATTTTTTGAATGGCATTTGTAATTGGAAAATTATCAAATAAAACACTATTTATAGATATTAATTATTATGGTTTATTTCACGGCTATGTTTCAACAAGATTTCACAAGTCGTTATCATGCAAATACACAAATAGATTTGAAGCCAAAATAAAGACCTGCAATAGGCTGATTTACCTCTTACATAATGCATCTTTAAGATATTTTATTTAAATACAAATATCATGTACAATGTTTTATAGATTTAAGTATAACTGTTGATAAGCTATTTTAGTTATAATATATTTGCATCTTTTTATTGAAAACATAATCCACTATAATATAATGGCATTTGCTCATATTTAGTTTATATATTTTGGGGATTATGTACAATACATTTTTAGAGGTTTATATCTGTGTATGGTTAAAGTATTTTTATGTCATATTATACATTTCTTGTTGTTCAAAAGTTACAACAATGCTCCACTTTTCTACATGATCTGATGTTGTAATATAAGAGAAACATATACTCATCAAACAGCAGTAATATTTAAAATCACTTTTAGATATGGTTATTTGGTTGTGAGACAAAAGACAGTAGTTTAAAGCAATATGTGAACTAGAATAAGTAAACCAACTAAATCTTTCTAAACAAAAACTTTACCATATAGGACTGAGAATGAGCCTGTCAGTATGGGAGACTCGAGAGCAATAAAAATATGAATATTCTCGCAAAGTTTGGGGGGCGGGGGTCTTTTGAGTTTTGAACTTACATCGTTTTTGACAAATTTTGATAAAGATTGCCACACACTAAATCTGTGCAAATGCTAGAAACATCAGAATATACCCTAGAAAGCACAATTTAAGGTTAGTATTTCTAAAAGGTTGTGGCCCCTCATGGGGATAGGCTTGGAGGCCTCTTGCTCCTAGTCTGTCCCATAAACTATTTTGACCTAAATCAAAGAGGTTTTGCTCCTTTAAAACAAAATATATCAAAATTTATCTTATCTATGTCTTTATTATCCCTTTCAACCAGATCTTGATATTTTTTACTATAGAATATTATGTCATAATTTAGAAATGCTCTAGATAAAAAGCATATCACTATATAAGAAAAAAAAAACTTTACTCCCTGATGAGAAATATTGGAGAATTGTTATTGTATTCCAAAGTTGGAAAGTTATCTAGAACATTTCAAGGAGGGTAAAATATATGTATTTCATTTTTATTTTCAAAATAAATTATTTTTGGTAAAAAAAAAAGTCTTATTTTGTAAATGTAGATTTTTGTCATACAAAAAAACATAAACACACTAGTAGCTTGCTTGTGTGGATTCAAAAGAATCTTGTCACAAGTTTACAGTAATTGCTCTCAGAATCATGGAACTGAAGATGTGAAAATAAGTTTTCAGGTTATGTATGGCCAAGATTTTGGAACAAAAGAGGCATATCTTTGACAGTGATCACCAGAACTTTTTAAAAATCAATTTGCAGTGATCACCAGAACTTGTTCAAAATCAGAAAGTTTATTATCCCATAAAATTTTCTTGCATCTATTCAAAACTAGTCTGTAGTGCACAAAAGAAATGAAATGAAATGGGGTTTTAACGTCCTACTGTTCTGCTCCGAACTGGGCTAATGAAGACGGGCATATGCCATACAGTGTGCTATGAGGGTAATTATTTTGATAGCGGCACTACGGCCTACTCTTATATCAAATTCCAACTGTCATGGTATCTTTTATGTGCATGCCAATGTGTACACGGGACCTCAGTTTTATCGTACCATCCGAAGGACTAGACAGCTGTCCTTGACAGGCCCTCTGTCCTGCATCACTGACAAGGGGGAACCACGCCAGAAAATCTGGATGAACTTTCTCGGCCAATGCAGGGATCGAACACCGGACCTCCAGGCTAGCAAGCCAGCGTCTTAGCCACCGTGACCCCCAAGAGTATAACTCTGCAAAATCAGTAAGTTGAATGATCTCAATCATTCTGTAAACAACAAAATCAGAATAATTAAACAAATGTTGTGCTAACAACAATTCTGGACAGACATGGGTAGGCATAGAGAAACCAACTAATTTTTATGGTAATATAAATATTTATCTAAATCCTAGTAACAACTTTAAACTAAATACTTTCAATCTAAAGCGAGTTAATTTCTTCTACATCTGATCTGCCATCTTTGCAATTAAAGTATCTGTTCTTCGGTTGCAAACATTGTTAAAAACCTTTACTGATGAGGAAATCTGCGACATCATGAATATAATGCCCTTTAATTCTAATTGATCTAGCTACTTCATGAACTTGAGAGGTTAATTGTTTATCAGGATATAGTTGCTGTAAGTGCTCCTTTAGGGCTGCTTCTAAGGCCTGAAAAAATTAGTTAAAAAAACCTGTGACTTCATACTTGACTAATAATTTACTCGCTGTAAAAAAAAAAATGTGCACAATTTTATTATTTTAGTTTGAAGATAATCAAATTGAATTCAATTCTTGTTTTGATATGTCTTCCATTTTGATTGATAACTATGTCAGAAATTCTGAACATCACTGGTGTCAGTAAAACAACTGATATTTTAATTGAATATCCATGGCGTTATTACAAATATATATAGATCTCAAATGCCATTTATTTTGAACAAATATTAGGGCTGTAGACCCATCAGAAGTGACACTGGCTGACCACTCTCTTTAATGGGACATCAACTGAACAATTGCTCAGTGGCTGAGAAAGAGAGGGAGAGAGAAATGGGGTTTAACGTCCACTCGACACAAACTAGGTCATTTCGGGACTAACACATGGTTTAATTTTATTTCAATAATTCGCTTGCACGTAGGGATCTTTAGCAGTGGGAGGACCCAGAGAAGACCCACGAGGTTGGACAGGCGACCCTACTCCTTGCCACGTACAACCGGGGATTCGAAACCACGCCAGTTGACTCAATGACAGACTTTATGGTACAGCGCGCACGTGCTAACCATTCAGCCACCCAACCCCCCGCTCAGTGGCTGAAGATGATACATGTATTTGTTTGGGTTAAGACCATTAGAGGCCCTAAGCACTCAACAGATTTTGGTGCCCCCATATAGGCCTATATGTAATTCCAAATAAAAATAATATACCAAAAAATTATATAAAATAAATTTGTATTTTTTCAAAATGAGGTTTTATACATTGATTGAGGCCAAAGCAGGCAACAGTAAGGAAAGAGAAAAACAATGAAAAGCTCATTAGAAAAAGTTCCTAATTTTTAAATTACACATTTTAAATATGTCTGCTCACAAAGAAGATGGTTCACCCAAAAGCACATGCTTATTTTGCTTAATGTATAATCCAGCCCTGTTCGAGAGGTTTCTAGTTAACCATTTACTGTCCTCTTCCACAGTTTCACCGATTGTTTGTTATTATGTATTTTATATATTCATGTATCTTCTGATGAAGATTGGAATAAAGATTATTTTATTATTATTATCACCAGGGTGATATCGCAGATCAGTGTTTTCCAGAATTACTAAATAGGAAGTCGGAATTTGCAGAAAAATTAGACAATATTAATAATTATTCGAATACAAGAGTAGGTTAAATTGCTGCTGCCCTGGCCTTATTCTTAAACACACACATACCGGTAAATAAAATATTTCTCACCCAAATATCTCCTTCCACCTTTCTTATGTGTACACAATGTCTATTTTGATGTGTCTGTTCATGATACACCGGCAACATATGATTCTTTGTTCTTCTCACTTGATATGGCAGTGACAGGGCTTCTTCTACAAAATGTTAAGATATGCAATTTATTTTAGACAGTCCACAAATTGGAAGACCAAACAGAATTTAACCCCCCAAAACAAAGACTTTACCCATTTTATAATTAAGTTGGGTTTTCCTTTGGTAGTTGTTTAGGGTATTCATTTTATAGTGTTTAAAAATATTTCTACAAGCATGTTGATATTGGTGTTCCTTCCTCATGATCAGTCAACCAATCCCAGCTCAAGTTTTCCAAAATATTTCGAAGATGGGTAAAATTTTAACAAGTTATTGTATAATCTTAATAAGTTTTAAACAATTATAGGAGACTATTCAGACCCCTAAATATGCCAACCAGATGGGAACAGAAAGCTAAACCGGATTGAATCTTGCAGGGCGATAACTCTGTGATTAAATTATTCTTGCCTTCATGGAGTTTCACCTCATGCCCGAATGAATCAGACAATATTTCCAACTGAGAACTTTGTCCTGTATCACACAAGCCTCGAAAATCAAAATGTGAAGGAAAGATAAATTGGCAAAACATGAACAATCTTACAGTAAAATACAACCACACTCTTGACATGAGTTAATAAAAGAATTAATGAAGGTTAATGAATGAATACCTCTTGGTGGAACCCATCCTGATGGTGTTGGATAAGAAGAATGTTTTGGTACCTCTGGTACTGTTAACTGTGGCATTAACCTTTCAACATATTTCATTTCTTTTGTCGAAACCTCAAAATCTATTAACTCATCTTGCCCTTTATCTGGTAGGGAACTCTCAGAAATATTGCTACATTTTCTGACCTGCAAAGTAAAGGTTACATATTTTATTTGCTAATATTAATATAATAGAAAAGTGATTCTCAGTCAGTGTGTCACGAAATTTTAAACGGTACACTAAGAAAATGCGAAAAGCCACTTGATCCCAATCAAGTATTCACTGGTGTCTACTGGTACGTTCATAGCTTTTTTTTTCTTTATTTAGTTTGAGTCATTCTATGTGTCTATGACTAGTCTGTGTCTACGGTTGTATGCTGTCTATGACTTGCCATGTTTTTGTTTTGCAAAATTCAAATATTTTTCATATATGTAGCCAGGTGTGTCGTTATTTTGTCATGTGTTCCAAGGTATGCCGTTGCCAACAAAAGGTTGAGAACCACTGTAATAGAACATGTGTATTGAAATATATGTGACAATAGATACATGTAGTAGCCATTTAACACAATAATGTCTTGTCATTATTAAAAATGAAAGGGGTGCAAGCTGGTGAATGTCCGAATTCATCGAGCTTGTGGGAAAATTGCTAAAAATTAAACGAGGTATAAACACAATTTGGGCACTTTGGCGAAAATTCTCCTCACCATTCATTTACCATGCGAATGCAAGCTGTTTTGTAACCTGGCTGTTTCGTACATGGTAACCATGACATGTTAGTCTCAAACTGGAATGATTTGATGAGACATTTTTTGGTAATATTTAAGCCCAGCTTATGCTATTTACACTACCAATGGTCATGGACCAGAAATCATGCAGATGCCTCTTTGACCTTTTTTTAGACGGTTTAGATATGGAGACCGTGTAAATTCAATTATTTTTACAATTTATCAATAGCACTGACTTGTTAATACGTACCTGGGTACTTAGTCTTGAAAATGTCTTTAACTGACAAGTAGTTTTTGTAAGAATATTCCTAAATATTGACATGCTTCCTGCCTTTGCTTTCTCTAACTTCTGTTGATCCAATTACCCCTAAGTACCACTAGAATTTCCAGTCAACAAACTCGGTCGATGGTTGGGCTAAAATTTGGGAATAGTTTGTTTGACTGAAATAAAAAACGCACTAACTCAAATATGATTACATCGTTTTTTGTCTATTTTGATTATTTTCCCCCAAGTTCAAATCTGACAGTTGAAGTCACAATTTTATTGAGATTTTCCTTCCAATAGCAATACCCTAAACAACGTGTTGACCTCTCTTTGCGAGTAAGGTCGTCATCTAGGGTTAAGGGTCAACGACTGACGTCATCAACTGAAAACAATGGCCGTACTAATATAAACAACTTGAATTAAGTCTGTGTCCGATGCATAAAACTGATGACAGCATAGTATCTAGTCGCTTCAGTATTTGACATTTTCATGTGGCCTCGCCCAGTCGATAAAATCAATCAGTTAGTTCAGTCGAATAATCCAGTCGAATAAACCAGTCGAAAAGTTCAGTCCAATACTTCAGTCGAATAAACAAGTCGCTCAATATTAAGCAGCGGTGGCAGCGGGCTAAGATAATATAGTAGCAAATCATGCTCGTAGCCATAGCTGAAGGAGCCGGGGGCATGGGGTAGGGACCGGGGGGCTTCCCAACTAATTTCAAGAAATGAAAAGAAATGAAATGGGGGTTCAACGTCCTTTTGTTCTGCTTAGAACTGGGCTAATGAAGACGGGCATACGCCATACACTGTGCGATGAGGGAAATTTTGCCCGGACAGCGGCACTACGGCCTACTCTTATATCGAATTCCATCTGTCAAAGGGATCTTTTACGTCCACTCCAATGTATACACGGGACCTCGGTTTTTCGTCCCATCCGAAAGACTAGACAGCTGTCCTTGTCCGCCTCGAAAAGAATAGAGTCCCTATATATGATATGAACGAAGAAAGGGGATGGGGTGGGGCGGGGGTGGGGGGGATAAGGTATTTGACATTTTCATGTGGCCTCGTCCAGTCGATAAAACCAGTCAGTTAGTTCAGTCGAATAATCCAGTCGAATAAACCAGTCGAATAATTCAGTCGAATAAACCAGTCGAATAGTTCAGTCGAATAATTCAGTCGAATAAACAAGTCGCTCAATATTAAGCAGCGGGCTAAGATAATATGGTAGCAAATCATGCTCGTAGACATAGCTGAAGGAGCCGGGGCATGGGGTAGGGACCGGGGGGCTTCCCAACTAGTTTCAAGAAATGAAAAGAAATGAAATGGGGGTTCAACGTCCTTCTGTTCTGCTTGGAACTGGGCTAATGAAGACGGGCATACGCCATACACTGTGCTATGATGGAAATTTTGCCCGGACAGCGGCACTACGGCCTACTCTTTTATCGAATTCCATCTGTCAAGGGATCTTTTACGTCCACTCCAATATATACACGGGACCTCGGTTTTTCGTCCCATCCGAACGACCAGACAGCTGTACTTGTCCGCCTCGAAAAGAATAGAGTCCCTATATATGATATGAACGTAGAAAGGGGATGGGGTGGGGCGGGGGATGAGGTATTTGACATTTTCATGTGGCCTCGTCCAGTCGATAAAACCAGTCAGTTAGTTCAGTCGAATAATCCAGTCGAATAAACCAGTCGAATAATTCAGTCGAAAAGTTCAGTCGAATAAACCAGTCGAATAGTTCAGTCGAATAATTCAGTCGAATAAACAAGTCGCTCAATATTAAGCAGCGGGCTAAGATAATATGGTAGCAAATCATGCTCGTAGACATAGCTGAAGGAGCCGGGGCATGGGGTAGGGACCGGGGGGCTTCCCAACTAGTTTCAAGAAATGAAAAGAAATGAAATGGGGGTTCAACGTCCTTCTGTTCTGCTTGGAACTGGGCTAATGAAGACGGGCATACGCCATACACTGTGCTATGATGGAAATTTTGCCCGGACAGCGGCACTACGGCCTACTCTTTTATCGAATTCCATCTGTCAAGGGATCTTTTACGTCCACTCCAATATATACACGGGACCTCGGTTTTTCGTCCCATCCGAACGACCAGACAGCTGTACTTGTCCGCCTCGAAAAGAATAGAGTCCCTATATATGATATGAACGTAGAAAGGGGATGGGGTGGGGCGGGGGATGAGGTATTTGACATTTTCATGTGGCCTCGTCCAGTCGATAAAACCAGTCAGTTAGTTCAGTCGAATAATTCAGTCGAATAAACCAGTCGAATAATTCAGTCGAATAAACCAGTCGAATAGTTCAGTCGAATAATTCAGTCGAATAATCCAGTCGAATAATTCAGTCGAATAAACAAGTCGCTCAATATTAAGCAGCGGTGGCAGCGGGCTAAGATAATATAGTAGCAAATCATGCTCGTAGCCATAGCTGAAGGAGCCGGGGCATGGGGTAGGGACCGGGGGGCTTCCCAACTAGTTTCAAGAAATGAAATGGGGTTTAACGTCCTTCTGTTCTGCTTGGAACTGGGCTAATGAAGACGGGCAGACGCCATAAACTGTGCGATGAGGGAAATTTTGCCCGGACAGCGGCACTACGGCCTACTCTTATATCGAATTCCATCTGTCAAAGGGATCTTTTACGTCCACTCCAATGTAGACACGGGACCTCGGTTTTTCGTCCCATCCGAAATACTAGACAGCTGTCCTTGTCCGCCTCGAAAAGAATAGAGTCCCTATATATGATATGAACGAAGAAAGGGGATGGGGTGGGGCGGGGGTGGGGGGGGATGAGGTATTTGACATTGTCATGTGGCCTCGTCCAGTCGATAAAACCAGTCAGTTAGTTCAGTCGAATAATCCAGTCGAATAAACCAGTCGAATAATTCAGTCGAAAAATTCAGTCGAATAAACCAGTCGAATAGTTCAGTCGAATAATTCAGTCGAATAAACAAGTCGCTCAATATTAAGCAGCGGTGGCAGCGGGCTAAGATAATATAGTAGCAAATCATGCTCGTAGCCATAGCTGAAGGAGCCGGGGGCATGGGGTAGTGACCGGGGGGCTTCCCAACTAGTTTCAAGAAATGAAAAGAAATGAAATGGGGTTTTAACGTCCTACTGTTCTGCTTGGAACTGGGCTAATGAAGACGGGCAGACGCCATACACTGTGCGATGAGGGAAATTTTGCCCGGACAGCGGCACTACGGCCTACTCTTATATCGAATTCCATCTGTCAAAGGGATCTTTTACGTCCTCTCCAATGTAGACACGGGACCTCGGTTTTTCGTCCCATCCGAAAGACTAGACAGCTGTCCTTGTCCGCCTCGAAAAGAATAGAGTCCCTATATATGATATAAACGAAGAAACGGATGGGGTGGGGCGGGGGTGGGGGGGGATGAGGTATTTGACATTTTCATGTGGCCTCGTCCAGTCGATAAAATCAGTCAGTTAGTTCAGTCGAATAATCCAGTCGAATAAACCAGTCGAATAATTCAGTCGAAAAGTTCAGTCGAATAAACCAGTCGAATAGTTCAGTCGAATAATTCAGTCGAATAAACAAGTCGCTCAATATTAAGCAGCGGTGGCAGCGGGCTAAGATAATATAGTAGCAAATCATGCTCGTAGCCATAGCTGAAGGAGCCGGGGGCATGGGGTAAGGACCGGGGGGCTTCCCAACTAGTTTCAAGAAATGAAAAGAAATGAAATGGGGTTTAACGTCCTTCTGTTCTGCTTGGAACTGGGCTAATGAAGACGGGCAGACGCCATACACTGTGCGATGAGGGAAATTTTGCCCGGACAGCGGCACTACGGCCTACTCTTATATCGAATTCCATCTGTCAAAGGGATCTTTTACGTCCACTCCAATGTAGACACGGGACCTCGGTTTTTCGTCCCATCCGAAAGACTAGACAGCTGTCCTTGTCCGCCTCGAAAAGAATAGAGTCCCTATATATGATATGAACGAAGAAAGGGGATGGGGTGGGGCGGGGGTGGGGGGGGGATGAGGTATTTGACATTGTCATGTGGCCTCGTCCAGTCGATAAAACCAGTCAGTTAGTTCAGTCGAATAATCCAGTCGAATAAACCAGTCGAATAATTCAGTCGAAAAGTTCAGTCGAATAAACCAGTCGAATAGTTCAGTCGAATAATTCAGTCGAATAAACAAGTCGCTCAATATTAAGCAGCGGTGGCAGCGGGCTAAGATAATATAGTAGCAAATCATGCTCGTAGCCATAGCTGAAGGAGCCGGGGGCATGGGGTAGTGACCGGGGGGCTTCCCAACTAGTTTCAAGAAATGAAAAGAAATGAAATGGGGTTTTAACGTCCTACTGTTCTGCTTGGAACTGGGCTAATGAAGACGGGCAGACGCCATACACTGTGCGATGAGGGAAATTTTGCCCGGACAGCGGCACTACGGCCTACTCTTATATCGAATTCCATCTGTCAAAGGGATCTTTTACGTCCTCTCCAATGTAGACACGGGACCTCGGTTTTTCGTCCCATCCGAAAGACTAGACAGCTGTCCTTGTCCGCCTCGAAAAGAATAGAGTCCCTATATATGATATCAACGAAGAAACGGATGGGGTGGGGCGGGGCGGGGGTGGGGGGGGATGAGGTATTTGACATTTTCATGTGGCCTCGTCCAGTCGATAAAATCAGTCAGTTAGTTCAGTCGAATAATCCAGTCGAATAAACCAGTCGAATAATTCAGTCGAAAAGTTCAGTCGAATAAACCAGTCGAATAGTTCAGTCGAATAATTCAGTCGAATAAACAAGTCGCTCAATATTAAGCAGCGGTGGCAGCGGGCTAAGATAATATAGTAGCAAATCATGCTCGTAGCCATAGCTGAAGGAGCCGGGGGCATGGGGTAGGGACCGGGGGGCTTCCCAACTAGTTTCAAGAAATGAAAAGAAATGAAATGGTGTTTAACGTCCTTCTGTTCTGCTTGGAACTGGGCTAATGAAGACGGGCAGACGCCATACACTGTGCGATGAGGGAAATTTTGCCCGGACAGCGGCACTACGGCCTACTCTTATATCGAATTCCATCTGTCAAAGGGATCTTTTACGTCCACTCCAATGTAGACACGGGACCTCGGTTTTTCGTCCCATCCGAAAGACTAGACAGCTGTCCTTGTCCGCCTCGAAAAGAATAGAGTCCCTATATATGATATAAACGAAGAAACGGATGGGGTGGGGCGGGGGTGGGGGGGGATGAGGTATTTGACATTTTCATGTGGCCTCGTCCAGTCGATAAAATCAG